TTAAGAACTTCAAATGTTGCAACAACCTCTCACTCTGCTTTCCATGAGCTTTGACATGACCAGCGCTAGTGGTGTTGACATGTTGCTGCTCCAGTCTAACTTTAACCCTCTCTTATGATGAGGCACAATGTTTGTGGCTTTCCATTCTGGAGTGTACCCAATAGATGAGATAATTAAAACAGTTGGGTCACAGATAGCTAGTTCCTCTAACCTCACACAAACTCAAAACCCAATAATTTTTTTATAGTGCTCCGTTGAATGCTATCAGATGATCATGTGGACCTGGATGTAATGCTGGATGTAAGCAACAACAACAAAATTACACTTGTATAGCGCCTTTCACGTCAAGAGGACATCCCAACAGTAAATCAATGGAGTAAGGGCGCAAAAAGCAGATGCCGATGGCAAGTGGCTTCAAAAAGAATGTAATAATCACATCAAAAAGACATTGTTTTTGAAGAAAATAATAATAATAGTTTGGCCACTCAATCCACGAGTGTTTGTGGGACACTGTTGTGTGCAATTGGCTGCCGAGTTTCGTCCTCAAAATATACAGTCAATTCACTTTACAATATAATCTGTGAATCGCTTTGAGACGTCTAGAAGACGTGATAAGGCGCTATATCAAATGCAAAGATTATTATTCTTTGTTATTCTCTCCTTAAGGAATACTATGCTACTGTGCAAATGATTTCCAAGGTTCTCAATTTTAAAACTGCCTGTAGTAGGTTTGGATATACAAGTCAATTCTGCCTCACAGCTCCATTGAGATCACACGTAAGGTCAGGTACAACTTATCAGTAATAAGTGATACAACTTCACCATCCAACCCATTAAAACTCAATCACAGTGAAATATTAGGTCCAGAATGAGAGATCAGTTAGCTGTAGGCTCAAATGCTTTCTGTATTAGGATTATACATTTGTATTGGGTTATACAAACAGCATTAAGTTGTTTTGCCAACAGTCAACCACCCAGGGGTAAAGCCAAACACTGATCAAGTGGCAAAAAACTTAGGATCCCCTCAATTTACTACTACAATATACTTGTGAAAGTGAAGCTTGGAATTTGGAGCAGACAAAGTGAGATGTTCCAAAGGCTGGTTCTGGACAAAATCCAAGGATTCAAGACAAGTAGCCTCAATAGTTGTGTGTGCGTGTGATGAACTCCACGTGCTGTCAAATCCATAAACATGACTTTCCTTTCATTGGAGCTTTCCTGCTACTCTAACCATCTCACGAGACGACCCATTGGAGGAGAACTAAAATATGTAGAACTTGAGGGGTTAAAGGTAAAACCTGCCCATTTAATGACACAAAAAAGCACATTCTATACCGCCAACAAGAGGGAGATGACCTCTTTAAAATAGATCTCTGGGACTGATCCAGAAAAAGGGCCATCACTAGATTTCTTAAAATAGTAGGACCAACAGTCCCTGAAGACCTATTTTCTGGGCCAAGGCACAATGGATACAGGTACAGCACTGAAGTTACTTGATAACCATTACTGCTATGTAACCCTCTCCAATTCTACATTAAACCATTTTATAACCGTTTTTCAGTTCTTAAAATAGATATCTTTCTTTCACACAATACCTCCCTTTGTCAGTTTAGCACATTCTAAAACATTAGACAATGAGAAGTGCAATGAGGTAACTTACTATGAACTATAGTTTAGAATGTTTGGGAAATGCAGTATACTCGATATTATCATACATTTCTGGTTTGGGAGATAAAATACGACAAACAGTGGTTGTCGGGTGAAAATGGTTTGGATAGCAACTCGAGACAAACAAGTACAAACTATCTAGAAGAAAGAACTCCTATAGCATCCTATGCATCACAATAAATATCGTTAAGGGTTTCTAAATGAATAATAATAATAATAATCCTTGCATTTGATATATCGTTTTATCACATCTTCTAGACTTCTCACAGAATATTCTGCAAAGTCAATTGACTATGTTTTTTTGTGGGCGAAACGCAGCAGCCAATTGCACACAGCAGTGTACCACAAATAGTCGTGGATTGGGTGACCAATTTTTTTTTAAAGGAATTATTTACCCCTGAAAAAGCATTCCGCCAATCGGCTAACAACCGGGTTCCTACTTACTGCTAGGTAGACAGAAGCGTGTGGAGTAAGGAAACTTGCCCAACGTTTCACTACACCTGCCCGGGAATCGAACACTTGCGAAGTGAATGTCCTGTAGCTCAGTGGTGAGAGCACTCGCTTTGCAAGTGAGAGACCTGAGTTCAATTCCAGGCAGAGGGCGAAACCTTGGGCAAGTTTCCTTACTCCACACAGAGCCTAATAATAATCCTCCAAAACCAAAAACAATAATAAATTGGTCATTTTCAATCTACGACTGTTTGTGGGACATTGCTGTGCGCCATTGGCTTCCGCGTTCGCCCACAAATATACAGTCAATTCACTTTACAGTGTGTTCTGTAAAGCGCTTTGGGACGTCCTCCCGACGTGAAAAGCGCTATATCAAATGCAAGGATTATTATTATTATTAATGCTCTAAACACCACACTATAGGACTACACAAGTCCTGTATTGGGTTGTTTTAATATCCCAACAACATCTCAAATGAGGAAAAGTCAACGTTAGCACTAACTAGTTTAACTGATCTTAGGGTCCAAATAAAAGGGTTGAACAATGAAGCTCGAACAGTCATCTGAGCATTCCCCCTCCCACAAATCTGCCCCCCGAGATATATAAATACTGTGACCTTTGATTTTTAGCACAGCTAATGGTAGATATCAGGATAATTGGTTAGGGACTCTCTGTAAGCACAGCAATGTCCACACTGAACAATTCAATTGCAATGTATCTTTCCAAGTTTATCAACAAATAAACAATAAACAAACTAGTTGATAAGAAACATACAGCAAGTTAGAAACATGCATTCAAAACACACTTTGAGATAGATACACTTGTTGTGAAAAGTAGCTGCAAAAATAGTAAACAAATCACAATATTTGAATCATTTCTACCTGACCTTAGTCTTATTTCCAATGTACTACAAGCTTTATTCAGCCCCAAAATAACTACTTATAATCAATCAGCTTAATTTTAACATTCACTTTCAATAACAGATAATCAACTACTTTAGCAAATCATTCCAATTTATCAGGTGGTGAACACACATCAACTTGGTGCATTAATTATCTTAAACACTTAGTGGTCCATTAGCTCATCTGGTGATCACCCTTCATAATGTGCGTAGCTCGCCAGTCTCCTTGACCTGACAGATAACCTGTGTGTACATGTCTAAATGTATAATGTTCATGTTCAAATGGTTTTGTCCTCTTGCCAGCAGCACTGATACCTTGTGATCGTATGCCATTATGATCAAACAAAAATTTCATAAGTAATGATAAACACACATTAATGGACAAGTTTTCTGCAGAGAAGGCTTTAAGAGATTAGTGTTACAGATGATCTCTGATGATCCAAATTAATTGTGTTGGCCACCAGCGTTCATTGTGCAAACGGTAAACATTCTTCTCAAGCTGACATCAGGAATTTAAGTGAACTAAATTGCCACAGGATTGTTGAGAGGGAGGGTGGAAAGAGAGGTTGGGGATACGAAACACAACACACAACACCGTGGAGAAGTAAATGCAACAGGCTTATTTGTGTGACAAGTCTTCACACCCCTCAAAGGAATTTATTCTTGCAGTTTCTGAAAGCTCTGTACATGTTGTGAGGATGCTAACTCCCAACTGAACAACTCAAGGTTTGATTCGGCAATTTTTTCTCCCCTCCTTCCCCTCACCACCAATACCTACCTCCCTTTAAGATTTGTGCTCGCACTTGCGGACATTATTATATTGGCTCAGCTGGAGCTGGTAGCCAAAACTGAAGTGAAGTACACCTCAAATACAGTCGCATTACAGTTTCACAGAATCCCTGAACTCTCTCGATCTCCCCCCCACACCCCACCACCACCACACTTACCAAAATAATAAGTGACATTCCTTGCGTTTAATTTAGCTCCTGATCACGCCATCGAGATGTCTGAAAGCACTTCACAGGATATACTGTAAAGTGGAGTGACTGTATATCTTGTGGGTGAAACACAGCAGCCAATTGTGCACGGAATTGTATATTATAATAATAATTATCATTATTTTGGTGGGGGGCGGGGTCAGACTCCAGCAATTACCCCCCAACGCACACTCTGAGTTCCCCCCGAGCCTTGACCGTTGCCAACGTGCGCCTAATACTTTCCGGAATAGGTAAGCGGAATGCGTCCCTCCAGGGAGATAGAGAGAGAGAGAGCGCATTCCATCCCAGCAATCTATCGCTGGGATTTCCACGTGTACATGGGGGTGCGTGGAATTCTCAGCTTGGGTTCGGAGCCCCTTAAGCCACGGTGATGGGTTTCCGCACGTGTTCAGACGCCCGGCTGGGCACAAATACCACTAATAGTAGCAACAACAACAACAATAATCACAGCTGCTGGAAGTCGCCTCCTGGGCTCGCGCGCGGGGCAGGTCACGGCTGCGCGTGGCCCGTCGCTCGCTGCGCGCGACACCCGGCTGCCGCCTTTGCGCCCCCGCGAGATACCCGCGGTCACCGACTCGCGCTTGGGCCCGACCCGCGCAGTATCCCGCGAGGCGCTTCGAGACGTCTCGAAGACGCGACCGGGCGCGATATCAAACGGAAGGATTATTATTATTATTACTATTATTAATGAGTCAAATGGAAGGAGGAGGAGGATGATGTCTGTCTGTCTGTCTGTCAGTCAGGCCAACCGGCCCTCTCACAGGACAGGGCCACACTCACGCGGGAAAAGGCGCCGACAAGCAGCCCCCCGGCTTCTAGAAGCTTCGGAGGGTGGGGGAGAGAGAGAGAGAGGGTGGGGGGGAGGGAGCGGGTGTCAGTCCCCCTCCACCCGTTGTGTGCGAGGGCCCATGAGAGAGAGAGCGAGAGAGAGAGACGGGAAAGTGGAAGGAACAAGCGGCGGCTGCTGCCTGGTGTGCTCTTACCTGGCGCTGCTCCTCCGCCTGCTCCGAGGGCGCCATCTTGTGCAGGCGCGGCCAGTCGATCCCGGAGCCGTCTCCCCCACCCGCCCGCCCACAAGGTTGTCCCCGCGCGCCCTCCCTCCCGGCAGGCAGGGCCAATCGATCCTCACGCCGCTCGCTCGCTCGCTCTCACGCAGCCGCAGACGCGGCCGCGCGCACGCGCACGCGCGGAGCCACAGCTCTCAATCCCCCCCCAACCGACCGACCGACCGACCGACCGGTCCCGGGTTCATCCGCAAACGTTTATTAAAAAAAAATTCTTTCCGATTAATTGATGTTGTATCAACATAGAGATATAGATATATATATCTATGTATGATACGCTATAAACTATATATATATTTATATTATGTGAAAAATATAAAGCGTCAGCTCGCCCAAGAATGTCCCATTTTTAACATGAAGGGTTAAGAACAACAACAACAACAAGATTGCAGTCAGAGAGCGCCTTTCACGTCGGGAGGACGTCCCGAGGCGCCGGACAGTTGGGTCGGGGACCCGAGCAGTGGGGGGAAATGGTCAGGGTGAGGGGAGGGCGAGGGTGGGAGTGAGGGCGAGGGCGAGGGTGGGAGTGATGTGGTCGCGGTGTCTGGTGCGGGACAGTACACGAGCTGCAGAGTTCTGAATGACCTGCAGTGTGGAGGGAGGTGGCGGGAAGGCCGACGAGGAGAGAGTTCCCATAGTCCAGCCTTGAGGTGGTAAAGGCGTGGACCAGAGTTTCAGCCGCGTGAGGGGTGAGGGAGTGCCGTAGTCCGGCCATGTTCCGGAGGTGATGGAAGGCGGTGCCGGTTGTGGAGCGGATATGAGGGAGAAAGGACGGCTCAGGGTCGAGGGGAACCCCGAGGTTCCTGATGGCTTTGAGAGGTGGAGAGTGCGGAGCTGATGCTGTCAGCGCCTGAGGTGCGGAGGCGCTGACGTGAGCCAATGTGGAGGGCCTCGGTTTTACACAAGTTGAGCTGAAGAAAGTTGTCTCTCGTCCAGGACTCGATGTCGGACAGACAGCTGTCAGGACATCGGGGGTCGTGGAGTTGAGGATAGAGGAGGAAAGGTAGAGTTGGGTGTCATCCGCATACATGTGGGAGTGAACCCCAGTGTGGGAGGTTGGGGTTGGGGGGGAGGAGGTTGGGTAGTGGGGGGGGGATTGGGGTTGGGTAGTGGGGGGATTGGGGGGGGGTTGGGGTTGGGTAGTGGGGGATTGGGGGGGGGTTGGGGTTGGGTAGTGGGGGGGATTAGGGGGGGAGGTTGGGGGTGAATGGCACTGACGAGGTCTGATTTTGAGCGGGAGGACCCGCTGTTGTCATGGTGACGGCGCAGGGCACGCTGGGAGTTGTAGTCTGCCGCGGGCTGTTTGGCGGTTGGCGTGAAGGAGGAGGCGGGTTGTGGGGGGGAGTGGGGGGCGGCGGTTAAAGCACATTTGTTCCCATAGAAACCTGGGGACAGAAACCGCGGGGGGTATGTGGACAGACAGATAGACAGAGAAACTCTACACACACACAGAGAGAGAGAGAGAGAGAGACTGTCCGCCGGTCTCCGTCGGTGATCGTCCGCCTCTCTCAGGGCCGCCATGGAGTCGAGCAGAGGTCGAGTTGGTCACAGTGTCTGCGACGCCAGACGCAGTCGGAGTTGCCGAGTCTCCGCGTGTTCTCTCCAGGAGCTGCTGAGCGAAGGTACTGTGTTGATTAAAAATAAAGCGCTTTATAATCTATATAATCCCCCACATCCCACACCCCCCCTCCCCCCCCACAGATGGACAAAGAACACAGATGTGAGGCCTTTCACATGATCGAGTGGGGGGTTTGGGGGGAAAATGGCGTCGATGAGACACTAAAACAACCACCAATGGCACCTGCGGCGCTTGTGTTGTGATGGCAGTCCCCTGTGGCAAGTGGACGGGACGCTCCCCCCACCCCGAGGTGCCGGATAGGGAAGGGTTTGCGCTCCCCCCGAGCTGCGGGTCCAGAGATATTATTATTATTATTAATAATTATTATTATTAGATATAGCTCCTTATCGCGCCTTCGAGACGTCTCAAAGGCGCTTCGCAGGAATAGGCTGCAAAGCGAATCGACTGTACACTTCGTGGGCGAAACGCGGCAGCGGATTGCGCACGGCTCCGTCCGTCCGTCCCACACACACACAGAAACAGCCGCGGATTGAAATGACCCAATTTATTACTGTTTTCCTTTGAGGGATTAAGTCAGTCACTGGGACGGCCCCGCAAACCAAAGCCCCGGCGTGTAGAGTGGACCCAGCTGGACAAGCAGCGGGAAAGCATTCCAGACAGCGCTCCCAATGGCAGGCTATGCGGCTTTAGCTGGTTAAGACTCCGGCGGTTACACCCCCAACCCGCCCTCCGGGGTCCCGAATCCTTGGCTCTGGCCAGAGAGAGGGGGCAAAGTGGCTGAAGGCTGACCTGAAGCCAACAAAATCAGCCAAGCAGATTCCTTGCCCTCGTAAACTTTATGGTTGAATTTTGTGTCTTAGTCTAAATTTGCATTGGGTACAACGCTCCACAGTTACCTTTCCCGCTACTAAAATATTCAACGGTTGAGGTGTCTTTTTTTTAAAAAACCCCAATGTAAAAATGTAGCCCAGGTATAGTTTTAGATAGTATCTCTCCGACCCGCTGCCTCGGCTCAACTGACTTTGGCCTCCTGCTCATCCCTCATGCCCATCAATCAATGGCTGTGCTTTCAGCCACTAAGTCCCGAAACTCTGGAACACCCTTCCTCTATCCCTCCAGTTTGTCCCCTCCTTCCCCATCTTCAGATCACACCTGAAGACCTTCCTCTTCAACTGTGCTTACGGTCACCTCGGCTTGGCGTTAAGCTCCACCACTGACAAGCACTCTGGGACGCTACCCTGCGTGAGGGGCACTATAAAAATGAAACTTGTAACCTCTAAGCTACTCAGCTATGATGTTTCCTATATAGTGGTTACTTTTTTTTAAATCTAGGGAAGCAAAAACTAGATTTGGATAAACTTGATGAGGAGAAACCTTCTGTGGTACTTGAGGAAGATGGAACAATAGTTGATGATGAAGACTACTTTTTGTGCCAACCGAAAAACACAATGTTCATGATCCTCCGTTCAGATGAGGAATGGGTTGCTGTTAATGTAGGTAAGTCGGCTAGGCATGAGCGACTCAAAGACGAAAAGACTTTCATGGAACAAGAAACGACTCTTGGCTGTCGCACTCACTTGTTCAAAAACTATGTAAAATAGAATCCTATCATGGACTTCACCAACTCTTCCAGCAGGGAAAAGGGAATCGGAGGCCATTCAGCCTGTTTCATCAGTTTAATAGACCTTAGTAGATTATTTTAATACCAATTTCCCAGCCTTTTGACATACCTGCTAATAGGAACATAATATTGCAAGACTGGAGGGAAGAGAGAAGGGAGTTTTTCCACAGTGCCCTCACCCAACAACCCACCAGATAAATTTGGTCACACACTTCCTGTCTTTGTGGGACATTGCTGTATGTAAATTGGTTGGTTAATACCCATCCTGGGATGAGTCACTTTACTAGTCTGCTATAAAGATCCTCTCTTTATTTCAGTTGCACCAAAACTCGAGTTATCTTTGGGTGCTCAAAGGGATGATGCTGCAGATAGCTTATATTCTGAAGACCAGCTGGATTCTGCTGAACATTCCAGTAACTGGAGGCTATTAGCCAGACAGCTTCAGGAAAACCTCGCTCGAATTATAACAATGTCTGAATCTGAACTTCAGGTAAGACAAAGTGGCAAGTCCGTGCAACCCTCCATTAAATGTGCAAATGTATTAATTCTGGGAATGGGAAATCCTAATTTAGTTCTGTTAGGCCCTGATAGAAGCACCGCCTGCTGAGCTGGCAAAGGAACTGAAGGAAACCTTGAAAGGAGTTGAAGAACTGCAGGACACCCTTCAACAGTCCCTCGACAAGCGAGAGCAACAACGTCAAGCGAAAGAACTGTTAGAACTGTACCTGAAGGCATCGGCGCCAGAAAAGGCTGGTCCGTCCGCTTTGCAGCCAAACCTTTTAATTATAAATGAAACCTAACTTGATCTGCTTCTTTATTGCACTTTCACGTCTACCTCAGTACCTTGCCTTTGAAAGAAAATGTTATCATACACGTACGCAATTGGCTGCCACGTTGTACCCACAAATACACAGTTATTCCACTTTGCAGTGTATTCTGTGAAGCACTTTGAGAGGTTACGAAGATGTGATAAGGCGCTATATCAAGTGCAAAGATTATTAATAGTGAAATTTTGTGCTCCTATTTTTTTTCCCTGGATATCTTTATAATTTTTTTTATAAAGGTGGATGAATTAAGTCCCAGCTCCTTTCATGCACACTTCATGCTCTCGTGATTCACCATGAAGAAAACACCACTGTTTCAAAAATAAAGTGGAGTTTTCTCCAACTGGTTATCTTGGCTTGCATTTACTTCTCACCCTAAATTTGGCCACGCACTAGCTGTTCGTGGGACATTGATTACTTTGTGTAAATTGGTTGCTTATTAGCAGTCTTGCGATCGGTCACTACTAATTTACTGTAAAAATCCTCTCCATTTCAGTTGTACCAAAACTCGAGGCACCTTTGGGTGCTCAAAAGGGTGGTGCTACAATTGGCTTATATTCTGAAGACCAGGTGGATTCTGCTGAACATTCCAGTAATTGGAAGCCCTTAGCCAGACAGTTTAGGGAAAACCTCGCTCGAATTATAACAATGTCTGAATCTGAACTGCAGGTAAGACAAAGTGGCAACTCCATGCATTCCTCTATTAAATGTGCAAATTTATTCATTCTGACAATGGGAAATCCTATTGCAGTCAAACTCGCACAAGTCTGATCTGTATAAATTGTATAATCACTCAAGTCGTACATTCTAGAAGACTAGTAAGTCTAGAAGACGTGAAAAGCGCTATATCAAATGCAAGGATGATTATTATGATCTATCCAAGTTCCGATTCAAGAGTTTATATTCTATGCAAGATTGACATAACTCATACTTTGCATAAATCATATTAAATGTATGGTTCCCAACTGACTTATGTGAGGTTTACTGTATAAAGGCTCAGTAAAAAAAAATGTCAGCGTTGAAACAAGATGCAGGAAAAACTACTGACAACAAAGAAAACTCAAAAAGGAACATCTACTTTTAACCCTAGATTATGTTTATAGTAAAGTCGGGAGCATATATTTATGTAAAGTATGAGTTGTGCCAAACTTGCATAGAATATAAACTCTTGAACGGGACTTGGGTAGATGTACGACACAGGCAATTATACGATTTATACAGATCAGTTTTACTGTATTACCCATTTTGACTTAAGCAGGACAGTCAAACATGCTATAGCTTTCACCCTCAGCAGGACGCCTTGTGTTTAATTCTGTTAGGCCCTGATAAAAGCACCACCTGCTGAACTGGCAAAGGAACTGAAAGAAACCTTGAAAGGAGCTGAAAGACTGCAGAACACACTTCAACATTCCCTCAACAAGCGAGAGGAAGAACGGCAAACTAAAATGTTGTTAGAACAGTACCTGAAGGCAGAAGCGCCAGTAAATGATGGTCTGTGCTTTTTAGCCCAACCTTTTCATTATAAATGAAACCTAACTCAATCTGCTTCTTTGCTGTTCATTCACTCCCATCTCTGTACCTTTTTTATAAAAAAAGTAAATGTTATCATACATGAACCCAATCGGCTGCCACGTTGCAACCACAAAATACACGGTGAATCCACTTTGCAGTGTATTCTGTGAAGCCCTTTGAGACATCTCGACGATGTGATAGAGCGGTATATCAAATGCAAGGAATTATTATTCTTAGCGATATTTTGTGCTTTTTTTTCTGGCTATCTTTACTTTTTTTAAAAAAACTGAACAGAAGTTAAATGAATTAAGTCTCATCTGCACATTTCATATACTTGTGATTCACCATGAAGAAAACACCACTGTTTCAAAAATAAAGTGGGAGTTTTCCACTTGATTTTTGTATTCACTTCTCACTCCAAATGCATCCCCATAATATCTAATGGTTTGGTTTCTAATAAGTGAGCTGTCAATTTGTCTAACATTCATTTCATTTCTAATTAATCTGATTTTGTAAAAAGCTTTTATACATTTATTTTCCATGATATTTATATAAAAGTGAAGACAATTTCTTAATTGTTTCGTCGAGTGCCTTGCTATGTCAGCTGCTTCCAAAAATGGTCATTAACACCCGACAATTACTTTGTGTGAAGTACTTGGAGACGTTTTGGTTGCTAAAAGTTCTTTCTACTAGCATTTAGCATGTTCACCCCCAAAATATACAGTCAATTCACTTTGTGAAGAGCTTTGAGGCATCTCAATGACATGATAAGGCGCTATATCAAATGCAGGGATTATTATTATGCAGGAAAAATTACTTGTTTGCTTTATAAAATGTTGCATGTTTCTAGATTCAGAAGATGCCAAAGGAACAGATCAAATGGATTGCTCAAATGCAAACTCAAATCGAAAGTGCCTGCATCCTCACATAATTGGAGTCCTTGAGAAAAAGGACAGCCCTGAGTTCAGCTTGTCCAATGAGGAGCTGCAGGTAATGTAATAAAATCCTTGCATTTGATATATATTAGATGAAAAAAAGTGGCCAAATTGTTCAGCTCTGGTTCAGAACAATGTGAAGAAGGCAGTATAACCCTAGCTTCCTACTCCTTGTCATTATGCAACCAGAAGCAAAGTAAACGTGGCACTAAATGTTTAGTTCCAGATCCATCACCCCCTCATCACATTACTACCTTGTAACTCGGAGAAACAGAAGGAATTCAGCCAGTTGACTCAGTCTCAGCAGTTTATTAGATCGTAATATTAAAGGTTAACGTAAATCGTCAATAGATAATAATAATAAATTGGTCAACCAAATCTACGACTGTTTGTGGGACGCTGTTGTGCGCAATTGGCTGCCGTGTTTTGCCCACAAAATATACAGTCAATTCACTTTACAGTATATTCTGTGAAGCGCATTGAGACGCCTCAAATACATGATAAGGCGCTATATCAAACGCAAGGATTTTTTTTTCTCTTTGCAGGAAGTTATAAAAGTGGACGAAGCAGGTTTAGCAACTGATGCACATTGCTCCATTCAGAAGGCGAAGAATACAAAATACGAGTGCAAGAAAGAACTTGAGAAGCGGTTGTCTAAAATGAAGGCCCTGGAAGAACTGAGTATCCATTCAAAGAAGATGAGGATGACACCACAGCAAATCTAGATGTAAACAAGATTATTTTTCCTTGACTTGCTTTACTAGATGCAAACTCTGAAAGTGGGTGAATAACGTGTGACCTGAAGATTGAGTAAAAATCGCCTCTTAAAGATTTGAGGAATTAACTTGCAATTTGAAGCTGTGCTTACATACCTAAAGTGTCGAATGCAAATCCTTTATCATGAAATCTTTCTGGTTTATGTTTCAAGACGTGTAAGTGAAGAGAGAATTTTCTCCGCTCTAAAAACCATGTGCTGATGAGGCAAACCACAAATCAAGATTGAGAATTTGGTCAATTGGACCAAACAAAGCTTTTTTTTTATTATGTGAGAAATATTGGGCCATGCTGCATTAGAAATTATACTTGGATTGTCACGTGCTACCCCAGTGTGCAAAGAACATCAAAATAAGCTCTCTGCTTGAACAAACTGTTTGCCGATGTTTACAGAAATCAGTTGGATGAGGATCATCAGAGAACCCAGCATCAAATACAAGAACCTTTACTTCACGTCTGCTTCTATAAGGACATTCTTTCCTTTGTCCTCAATATTCTGCAGTTTTTCCCTTACAATATACACCCAAACTAAATTTAAAGCTGATGTTATTAAATAAATCTATATCTGATTCAATGGACTATTCTCTGTCAATAGTAAAGCTCGCCTACTGAGAAAGGTAGGAGATTTTGAAGTGCCATATTATTAAAAGGTTATTAATTATTATTAATGGACTTGGGCAAGACTTGTTGCTAACAAGGAATGTTGACTTAGTTCAAGCAGCACCTAGATTTAAGTCATAGGTGACTCAGACCGTTTATGAGCGTTATGGATATGTAGTAATAATAATCTTGCATTTGATATAGCACCTTATCACATTGAGACGTCTCAAAGGGCTTCACCGTATATATTGTAAAGTGGATCAACTGTATTTTGTGGGCGAAGCACGGCAGCCAATTGCACACAGCAGAGTCCCATAAACAGTCGTGAATTAAGGGATTATTGCCCCAGGAAAGCAATCTGCCAATCGACCGATAAAATAATATAATAAAAAATATATTCATCCAAAGCCTTTCAAAATTCAACTGTTGGAAGTGATACATTAATGAGCAAGAAGTCAGTTAACATATTCTCACTTAATTTTAAATATGTACATATGTACACAAAGAGTGTATTGAGGTATTAAGACAGTACAACGTAGTGTTCAAATTGTTCAGCACACTCAGGCTCCCCACAACATTGACTTGAAAGTGAACTCAGTTTTACTTACCTTAAATTTGACCCGACCTTGCAGGGTTAATATAAAACTTGCCATGAGGGGTAATTGTACTTGTGTATAATCAAGGATCTTAATTCCACTTAATAGACCCAGAATCCATTATAATTTGGCAAAAATGTAAAAACACTGCTCTTAAAGGGTTCTTAATAAGCGTATTGTACGAGGACAATCAACATTAACCAGATATTTTAAGACTTGAACAATATTTAATTACGTATGATGAGAATTCAGTTGATGCTAAAAAAAACGAGCACTGGGCTAATGGCCTTGTAATTGTTTATGGAATCGAAATAATCAATTAGCATTACTATTAAGTAAAATGTTTCCCCGTCAAGTTTGTTTTTCTTTAATACTCTTGATTAGCTTATAAACTGGGAAAACTATAATCACCAGTCCACCCACCACTGTTCCAACATTCGTCTAAATTGGTTCTTAGTCGTTGTTCAGTGACTGAAATGTACAGCCGTAAAGGTTCTTCCCACAGAGTGCTTTGACATTTCAATGTAATTAGATTTGTAGATGAAACACTGGAAAGATTTCAGACGAAGTCTCTGGTTGCTTATCCACAGCAGCAGTTGCTCGGAACTTTAAAAAGCAAAGGGTTATCCTAGAATATATATAATAATAATACTTGCTCTGATATAGTTCCTCATCATGTTGTTGAGATCTCAAAGCGCTTCACATATATTGTAAAGTAATATACTATCATAGAATATAAAGTAATATAATCCTTTCCAGAAAACAGCGTTACCTTCTATAGTATCCTCTCCCAAGTTGATCTTAATGTGCCAACAGACCTCAGAGAATTATACAGCACAGAAGGAGGCCATTCGGCCCATTGTGTCTGTGCCGGCTCTTTGAAAAGAGCTATCCAAATAAATCCCACTCCCCGCTCTCTCCCCATAGCTCTGCAAACTTCTCCCCAAATAATTATCTACTTCTCTCTTAAAAGTTTTTAGCGAATCAGCTTCCAACACCCTTTCAGGCAACGTATTCCAAATCCGAACAACTCACTGTGTACAAAAATTCTTCTCACCTTCCCTGTATTCCTTTAACAAACTTATTTGACTATGGGCAGCATCACAGTCAAAGCCTGTTCCTCGCTAATTGGCAATAAACAAAGATATACAAAGAGACATCACTGCTCCAGTCCAGCAATCAGGAATAGGAAATGGCTTAATTTTATCCTGCTTCATCCAGAATCTCAGACCAATTGCCCCTCATCCAAGACTTATATAATAATAATCCTTGCATTTGCTTTAGCGCCTTATCACTTCATTGAGACGTCCTCAAAGAGCTACGTAGAATATATTGTAAAGTGGATTGACTGTATTATGTGGCCAAAATTCCGCAGTCAATTGCGCACAGCAGAAAGCTTGTCTAATTCAGGGCAGACTTGGATGAGGATCAATCCTGTGACCTTCGCTCTCCATCTAACTCAATATAAGTGAGAAAGCAAGAGTCCATTTATCACTGAGCTATTGGAACCACAAATACTGTAACCACAAATAACTTTAGCCAGACATATACAGTACTGAGTGCACACGGAAACAGACAAGAACCAAGCGATTCACTAACATGGATAAACCTCAGCAACACTAACAAAAAAAACACTCGCTACCTCTAATGCCCAGAGGGGTGCAACTACTTGGCTTTACTGTCAGTGTCTTTACAATTGCCCCCACTCACAATCAGACCCTCTCCAATACCCTTACCTCTTTAAAGGCCCCAATCTTTCAGTCTACACCTCAAACTTTTCTTCTCTGGGACAGGACCAGATAAAGAGATGTGAGAGTGGATTGGCTCACAACTTTATAATCCAGGACCATTTTGTTGAGGTGGGGCAAAGGTCAGGGCTGGAGGTAGTTACCGTGTTCAATTCTTTCTGTGACTGCTTAAATTGTACAAATTGATTGGATTATTAACACTGTTGAGTTTATTTTGATTCAGGTTCAGAAAAACTAATTGTGAGCCCCAGGCTTGTTGAATGAAAAGTCATTGGTGAATAGCACTATGAGATGCTACAAGGACGCTTATATAAATGCAAGTTGTGGTTGAATAATCTCATGCACTATTGAGGTTTGTGTTTATTCTTCTTAAACCCATTAAAACCTGTGACATCTCAGGTCCGATTTGCTCCTCTGAAGATCCAGTAAAGCTGAGAAGAAAAATGAAACACAAAGAGTAACTGAAGTCCTGATAATAATACTTGCATTTCATATAGCGCCTTATCACATAATTGAGCTGTCGCAAAGCGCTTCACAGATATACTGTAAAGTGCAGTGACTGTGTGTTTTCGAAACAGGAGCAACGTCCCACAAACAAGCACGATAGTGACCAGTTTTATTTTGGGGGATTTGTTGGGAAAGAAACTTTTGAACAGTGCCATGGGGGTCTTTAACATCCACCTGATGAGGCAGAAGGGATCTCGGTTTAATGTCTCGTCCGAAGGACAGCACCTCTGAGAATCCAACACCCCTCAGCACTGCATTGGAGTGTCAGCTTATGTGATTCTGAGTCCCGATGTGGGGTTTGAACCCTCAACTTTCTGACTCAGATATGAAAACACTACCGACTGAGCCAGGCTGACACACAACCCTTCCAAATGCAACAATAACACTCTTGAAAATAGTCACTGCGCTTTACAGTATATCGTGTGAATCGCTTTGAGATGTTTTGAAGATGTGATAAGATGTCTGAAATGAAATTACTATTAGTCACAGGTGTCAGTCTGGCTCAGTTGGTTTCACTCTTGCCTCTGAGTCAGAAAGTTGTGGGCTGTGGGTATGAGTTAAGATATGAGCTTCACTGCCGCGGGATGCGCTGAGCAGGGACCTGTGCATCTCTTTAGCGCAGCGGATGATTAAAGGGGAACATGGGAATAATTCAGATTCTTTTCCTTTAAAAAAACGCACAAGACACTGTGAATTCTAATGCAGAATTTCCATTTATTAAAATGTAATCATTTTACGTCGCCTTTTAGAAAGCCACCTATTTATTTTCCAGTTTTATTTCAGTGAATATTTACAAATCGTTTGATGTATGGAAGGGGTGGGGGGGGGGGGGAGGGGAGTGGAGAGGAGGGGGTGCAGGGAATTGGGGCAGTGGGGGGGGGGGAAGTGTTTACATATCAACAGGAAAACACAAACTGGATTTTTAAAAAATGTTTATCTTTGACAAATCCACTAACAGTGCGAGAAGGTTTTCCAGAAGAACAGTTTGCACCCTGCCTTCGGTTTTCTGGGAGGGATTTCACCGGCAGCTGATCTCTCCTCGAAATCAGTCCCCTCTTCTTTGCTCAGACCCAATGGGGCGATGACACTTTCTAACAGATTGTCATCCACGTCCAACAATCCCGCCAGCAGCTTCGCAATCAGGCGTTTCTTGTCCTTTACCATCTCCTGTTGGATGGAGAGAAGAAACTTTTTTTTTTTGGTAAAATTCATGCGAGTTTAAATCCACGACTGATGGTGGGACACAGCTGTGCGCAACTGACTGCCGAATTTGGCCCCAAATAGTCACCACTTTACAGTACATTCTGTGAAGGGCGTTGAGACATATCAACGACGTGATAATGCGCGATATCAAATGCAAGGATTATTATTATTTTACTCACCCTGTTCAGCTGCAGACCCATTCGTTCCTCCTGTGGTTCAACTCCCTGAACAGTTACAATGAACAACAGACACACGACACTTGCGAATGCTTGCCACTGCATGCTGGACTCAAACTTTCTCTCTTTTCAATGGATCTGTCGAGCTTTCACTGACTCTTTCCCTGTTTTGCTGAGAAAACTCTAATTGTCCTGCTTTTATAATGCAGCACAATTATAGCACTCGCTGACGTGCAAAATTAGTGCTATAATCAGACACTAATATACAATGAGAACCATTAACTGGAACATTAAAAAAATGACAAAGTCAACAACTGGAAAAAAATGTTAATTTAGAAAGATCATAATTGATTTATTTTATATTTTCCAATTTCGATTTGCATCAAAGATTAGAACACTGATAATTAAAAGAGCTTTCCAATTTAGAATGAGTCAGTCTTTGTGTGTTTTGTATAGAGCTTTCAACATCAATCTTCTATAATATCCAACACACAAAAAACACTTCTACGAATTAAAGTGGAGGTAGAAATTGTTCCAGCTCTAGAAATCCACAAGAAATGAAACTTTTTCGTCTTACCATGAATCATCTGTCCTTCAAATGAGACATTAAACCAATCTGTCATCTGATCTATTAAAAAAAGTGGCTCCCCTTGGCAATACCACTTGATGACCCTAACAGGAAATAATGCCTGTTACAGAACATAAGATTTTCACAACTCAGAAAGTCATTGTTTTCAAAGACTGATAAGGAATCAGTGAGGCTGAAGCCTGAGTTTGCGGAGAGAATTGATGTCATGGGACAACTCTGAGAAAGGGGTGATGCCAACACCAATCTAACATGACTAGTGGAGCTGAGACAATTCTCTTTGATAGACTCTCGTTGGGCGATCTGATACATGAGCCAGAAAGGTCCACAGTATTACATGATTGACCTCCAGTTTACTAAATAAGGGTTCAGCAGCTTATGGGATGTTGGGACTCTTCATGGGGAATTTGTCTGTAGAACAAACATTTAGCCAGCTCTGAGTTTTGTAACATTTCCACAAGAAGATTACATTCGTATAGTGCTTTTCACATCGGGAAGACGTCTCAATATCAATATAATAATAATCCTTGCATTTGATATAGTACCTTATCACATCTTCAAGATGTCTCAAAGTGATTCACAGAATATACTGTACATTTTGTGGGTAAAACGAGGCAGCCAATTACGCACAACAGTGCCCCACAAACAGTTGTGATTTGGGTGATCTACATCAATTATAGTTATTTAATTTCTCAATTGGCCGTATCGATTTTGCTGAAGAAACTGGAAAGATTGAAATAGCAGGTCTTGTTTATAGTCTGGTTTGTGGGTCACGTGTAAGGTCTGATATATGCCCTAATGTTCCACTTGAATAGCCCTGACATTAACAAGGGACATATCAGTACCATTACGTAAATTAAAAGAATTTGACCTTTGCGTTTTACACTTACTCTTTCCTGACAAGTAGGAAATAAGGGTTAAACGCCATCCTCACCACAAGATTGTCTTCAAAATGTCACTAACTGTTCTCATCTGAGTCAGAAGATCATGGGTTCAAGCCCCATGTTGGGACTTTGTACTCAGTCTAGATTGACATCATGCTGTTCGTGGGACATCGTTTTGTTCTGGTTGTCGCGTTTGCCTACACACATTGACTACACTGTACGGTAAAATTCTGTGAAGTGCTTTGAGTTGTCGGTACGATGTCATGAGGTGCTGTTTCATAATTTTATTATTAGAACTTTAAATACATTCCTCCAAACAATATCTAAACGTGAACTTTTCTCACTAGAGCTCCTTTTGCCTATACAGTGGCAAATTATCCTTAGGCTGAGTTTGAGACTTTGGTTACTATCAGTTTCAAAAAGACTAAAAAAAGTGGCCTCGTTAGTGATTTGCCCACATTAATGGGTATTAATTCAGCTCGGTTGATAGTGTTCATACATCTGTCGTAGACGGTTATCAGGATTTCTGATACTTTTCACCACAAACTACAGTCAATCCACTTTACATTATAGTCTGTGAAGCGCTTGCTTTGAGACGTCTCAACGACATATAAGGTGCAATGCAAGTACTATTATCATTATTTCCATTACAGCACACTCAATACCGTAAAGCATTTTGAGCCACTTCAACATGTTAAGGTACTATAAAATTACAAGTGCTTCTTTCTATTATGAGGTGAGGTGTGCACAAAAATCTAAGTACTGCAAGAAGGTCGATTAAGTTATAACACTTAGACTGAACAGCAAGGGTATGAATAGAGTAAAAAACCTCACACAAGTCATATCAAGTCGGAAGATTTCAGTCTCAAACAGGATTGTTAATTGTTTCTTCATTCAAAACCTCATTGTTTCTTTTTTACAAGATAAGCTAATTAAACTGACAACAGGGCAACCACAAGCAACCACAATAATCCCTCCAAAAAACAAAACAATAATAAATTGGTTATTTTCAGTCTACGACTGTTTGTGGGACATTGCTGTGCGCAATTGGCTGCCGCGTTCGCCCACAAATATACAGTCAATTCACTTTACAGTGTGTTCTGTGAAGCGCTTTGGGATGTCCTCCCGACGTGAAAAGCGCTATATCAAATGCAAGGATTATTATTATTATGTGAAAAAAATAAGTAATTTCTCGTTGGACTTAAGACGAGTAACTTTTCTTTACAAGTGCCAAGTAGAATTTCAACACATCAAAGTTTAGAGATAGCATTATTACAGCTAAGGCATCAGGGTGAATCTTTGATAAATATTCTTCTTGGGTTCAATTGTTTTTAATTCTTGCAGTGAAGTCAAATTCAGCTGGATTCTGTTTAATTATTTCAGGTGTTATTTGTTGGTTACTTTAATCCACGATTGTTTGTGGCACACTGATGTGCGCCATTGGCTGCCTCGTTTCGCCACCAAAATCGCAGTCAATTTAACCACTTTATAATATATTTTGTGAAGCGCTTTGAGATGTCTTAACTACGTGATAAGGCGCTATATCAGTATTATTATTACTTTCTCCAAGCTGCTGTTTACTCATGAAAGAAAATCAGTTCAAAGATTGATGGGAAACTGTTCAATGACCTCATTTCCGGACTTAGGTCTAAAACACGTCATCTGAGCTACTCCATACAAGTGTCGTCACTTTCAGTTACTGTGGATTCAGTCTGAACATTAGATTTCTTCTTTCCTTTCCCTGCAGTAAACAATGTCTTCTTCTCCACATTATCGGATGCAAGGTCATCACACTTCTTTGTTATGAATTTTTGCTGAAAGAGAATAATAAATATAAATAAATTATAATAATCTTTGCATTGATATAGCGCCTTATCAAGTCGCTGAGACGTCTCAAAGCGCTTCACAGAATACATTGTAAAGTGAATTGTTTGTGTATTTTGTGGGCAAAATAAAGAATATATGACTGCCAGTTGCAGTTACCTTAGGCCAAACTAAGCTCACATTGCTAATGTGGGGATAGTGGAGCCTGGTCTCTCTTAGTTTCCTGCTGGTGGTCGAGTCTCTCTGTGGGCTCTTGAAAGACTTCTTTTACCATTTTAATGGAGTCTTCGTATAATGTTCTGAAGCTTTAATATTTATTGTTTTAACGTATCACAAAAATGTATTGGAGACATCATTAAACCTGAGCATTCTAGTCCTGCTGCCTTCATACATCTGAAAATATTCTTCTGGGTTCACTTTTTCTATTGCCTCTTATATCCCTCCATAAGGTCTTCTCTGAGACGTCTCAACACTTTCTAACAATGATTTAATAGAAGACAGCCAGAGAATTAAAGTCATAGCCTTAATAAATGGTAGCAACCCCCTAGGGAAATCCAAGTAGGATATTAAATCCGTGGCATTCCCTTTAGTTAATAAGTTTCATATTATAATAATAATCCTTGCATTTGATATAGCGCTTTTCACGTCGGGAGGACGTCCCAAAGCGCTTCACAGAACACACTGTAAAGTGAATTGACTGTATATTTTGTGAGCGAAACACGGCAGCCAATTGTCCACAGATCTACTTGGAAAATAGTTTCTTAATTCTCATTAATCTAAATTAATCCTAATAAACTATCAACCATTGTCAGATTGCTGCATTATTATGTCTCAATCTGATACTTTTGGACCAGCTGGACTGCACCAGAAGGTTGCACATGATCCACTTATTGCAATTTTGCAACAGATGGTGGCACTATTGTTGAAGAAAGGAACGGATCTGCACAGGGAAAGAGAGCAACTAAAAATCCCAACAAACTACGTAATGGGAGGGTGAGGCAGTGGAAGTTGAAGTAGTCTATTATTCTTCGTTGAGCGGCAGAAGTTAACACCTGGCAGCTGCAGAAAATGTTAAGCGCTTTGAGATGTCTCAACGACGTGTTAAGGCACTATATCAAATGCAAAGGTTATTATTATTATTATAATACATACACTTTAGAGAAATTTAGAATAATTAAGCAGGATGAAACTTGAGGTGAATAAGTGTAACATTAATAAGCACTGTTGTGTAAATTGAATGCACAATGAATAGATACTCATTGTTAGGGGCAGTTAAACAAGGAGAACAATTGGGATTCAATTACTGACTACAGACCATAAGTATCCATATGATATAAGGTTGCTTTCAACAAGATTGGGATGAATCTAGAAAATAGTTGGTTATCAGTTGAACCAACTTATTTCAACTCTGAGTAATTGTAGGAAGGGAACAGTTGGAATATTGTGTGTAATTCTGGGTGATTTGGGCCTTACATTTACAAGAAGATGGTGTTAAGAGTGCTGTAAATCTGCAGGCTATTTTAAAAAGGAAAAACACAGATAAAATGGGGGACAAAAATGTAGATCTCACCAACGCTGTGCTCCTTCTAGACAGGAGTTTCACATCTTCAGTATTAACAGTGCTTCGCTTTCCATGTCTACAGAAAGAAATCCCAGCAAATCAATATTAATCTTAGAAAATATTTTAAAACATGTTCTTGAAATGCTAAATTCCACTGTGGAAGAAAATTATGTTCATTTTCTTATTTACTAATCCCTGCATTTGGTATAGTTTGCGAACATCAGGTCTTTGAAGCGATTGACCAATTATTCAGAATATTCACATTTACACTAAATCGGTAATCTCAGATAACAGGAAAATGAAATATTTTTGTTACAATGCAGCTCAACTGACAAGATTGTTTTTACTGAGCAATGATTCACCTTTTTAAACAGGCGTATCTATGTGTAATACAAAATAAACAACTTGAGCACCAACAACATTCTGCACATTGCAAACATGCAAGTGCTTTCTATTAATTGCTCAGCATATAGAAGGGTGAGAAAGACAAAATCCTCCTCAGCCTTAATTATTTTCTAAACAAAATAAATACTGATCAGCAATTGCTCTACTGAAGAGAATTTGGAACCCTGCACATTTTTAGCAACTGCCCTTGAAAATCATATGAACTTCAATGCTTAAAAAGTTTGACGGTTAAATTATAATCCTTGCGTTACATGAAAGAAAAAATTCTTAGTCCTGAGAGAATTATTTTTAGTCCTGGTTTACATCAGCTATAAAAAATCAGTAGAGAAATTAATATTATTATAAGGCTAATTACTTGGGTATGTCTCCATGAGGTGTTATGACGCTTAACAATATTTTTATTAAAATTGGTGTTACCCACCTTGAAAATAGTTCAAGATCCTGTGCAAAAATTTCTGAAATACAAAATGTAAAACAATAAGTTGAGACACTGAAAAATTTACTACACAGCAAATCTTTCCATCCATCCAGATCATTCAACTGCAGAATATGGTTCCTGAAAATGTGCATCAATTTCAATATAGTCAACTTCTGATAACTCAATGCTATTTAGCCCTAAAGATTCTGATTTAAAGGTAGTCATTGCTAATGTAAAAATAATGAACGTTTTGCAAAGTAATACAATCAAGCCTAATGCATTCTGCACTGTTTAAAATAATAATGTACTAATCCTTACATTTGATATAGCATACATCACCAAAATGTCTCAAAAGGTTTTCAACATTATAGGCAATACGTTTTGAGACATTCCACAGGGAAACACTTCACAGGAAACTGCTGCAAAGTGTATTTATTGTGGGTGTATCTGCAGGTGAACACAGCAGCTACTTTGCATACGTCAAGGTCCCACAAGTAGTCTTGAAGTGAATAATTTATCTGGAGGACTGTTAGTCAGGACATCAGGAGAACCTCAGGATCAGGTGACCTGCCTACCTTGATGTCTCGATTTCTCCCATTCTCAGCGAGTTCATTGCAAAGGGGGAAAGATAAACAGTGGTCACGAGTTATTACTCCACACAGCCCTACACCTGGTTACAAATTACTACCGACCTAAATACAGATGGTAACTTCAGAACATAACTTTAGATAATTCTGCAAACCCATGCTAGAGGTCTGTGTGAGGTGATAAAAGTGGATGAAAATAAGTATTGTTTTATTACCTAACAGACTAACCATGGAACTACGCACATGAAGATTTTAGGATGCACACCTCTGAGGGTGGGTCTCACCAACATCCTGTAGAAACGCAACCTTAACAAAAGTCAAAATGTACAAAAGTCATCAATCTGTAATGATTTTGTGGGGGTGGGGGTAGGGGTGGGGGTTTGCCTCAGAGAAATGAGTGAGGAGTTTAGAGTAAGAAAATGCCTTTACCCAAGTTGTTCTCTAATTACACCAACCCAGCCCAAAATTAGGCAACTTACAATAGTTGTTCCTGGTTTCGTTCACACGAAATGGCTTTAAATACCAAATGGTGCTACAAAGGCTCGACTTCAAAATGGTTAGCTGTCAACACAACCAATGCATATCATCCTTATCAGATTAAGAATATAGCAGGCTCATTTCTGAGTACTGACCTAAATTAAAGGTGGTAATAAAAAAATGTACTCACAGCAAAAAAAACTTAACCCCTTATGACATGTCAAGCGACTCCCTGGATGGTGGAAGGTGAACTCAATGGACCTTGGTCTTCTTTTGCCGAGCAAATTCTTATGTTCTTATGTAACACAGAAATAGTGATAATCCCTAAATTTACAGAGGGGCATTAACAGCTGTCACTAGATAGAAAGGGTGGTGGAGGCCAAGAAAATTAACAATTTATTTTTCGTTATAATAACTTGGGCAAAACCAGAGTAGAATTATTCTCCATTATTTCTTTCCTTCCTACAAGATGTTCCCAGATACGTAAAACACCGTCTCTGATTATGCTAGGTTTTGTCAGGATTACCTGGAAGTCGTTAACAAAAGATAATTACGCGGGGGCTGGAAGAGAAACTATTGGCGGAGACAAATTGGAAACGGTTTGAGAGATAGGACCTGAAGTTTCATTTGGGAGATTTTTTCAGTCTGGAAAGCCAAGTATCTCGACGCATTCCAGGACTCAAAAGTTGAATTTTCTTAAATCTCAGAACCAAAAGTTGCAATTAACACAACATATCCAGTGTCAATATCTCACCTTAGAACCCCCTGCCCCTATTTCCACTTCTAATAGCCCAGAATCCTTATAACTAACAGGAACTTGTCTAGTTCCTTTTTGAAACCTTCTGTGTGTTCTTGTGTCCAAAGCTGTAGTGGTAGTTTGTTCTAAATTATTTTCACAATGTTTTAGCAAGCAATCTGCACTTTAATAAATGCAATTAATTTATTGAAAATAGCAAAGAAGACATATGAAGCTAACATATCTTGGCAAGGTATTCAAGATGTCAATTGTTTTTCAGATACACACACAGCCTAATGTACGATAAACAATCAAATCTACAGGGTTAGTTTTGAAGAAAAGAACACCATACTCCATTTTGATGATAGAATTTAACTCATCACTTTTATAAAATTATTTATTTTTGTTGGAATTACTGTAAAAAATGAAGATGATATTTACTGTTTCATCATTATTCAGGATAGAGTGAGATGTGAGAAAAATCAATGGTATTCAAAAATCTTTTTCAATTCTAACAAAATTGATCTAATTGTTTTGAAAAAGCAGTGAAAACTTTTATTTTACCAATTGCATTTTAAAACCACTTTATGACCAAAAATGCAACATTATCTCGCTGTTTAGCATAAAGATTTTATCACTTCCTGAAATGCGATGAGATGGAGATCTGCACATTGCACTATCTATCCCTTCTGTGAAATAATTCTTTATTTCAAGTTAAAGTATTGAATTATGGTCTAAAGCAAAAAGTTAATTTGTGATTCATTTTGAAATCTAGATGAACAGTTATCTGAAAGTACAAGAGTGCCTCACTAGGCAGTCCAAGTCAGTTTTTTATTTCACTTTTTCAAATTGGCATGACTCCTCTGCCCAACTAAATGTGTGGATGTAACCTGTACAACTTCAAATCATAATAATAATAATCCTTGCATTTGATATTTGGAAGTGATACAATATTAAACTATCTGTTGCAAGAAAATTCACTAAAAAAATGTATTTAAGAAATACTGATTATTTCACTGTTTCTTAAAACAATATCCAAGAAACAGAAATGATTTTATCAGTTTCCTTGCATCATATTTCCCCTCAAGGACCTTTGATAACATCACTACCCTCATTTAAACAACCTTTTAGTTAGCATTTTTAAGGCAATGTTACAGTGACCTTATTTTTGTTAAATTTGACGATATGCCATACTTGTTTTAAGGAGATATTCTGAGACAAAGTTGTTCATTTTACCTTTGGACCATACTGCTGGGTACAAGTATGGCATGGATGGTTAGTAAAATTGTACAAAATTCAGGATCAACTGATTCCTTGAACCGGTATGAAACATCAGTATTAATAATTCCAGTCTGTTCTTAAATAACATACAATCATTACAAATTGTTCAATCCCAGTTGTAAGACCCATAACCTTTCAGCAAAACAAATAAACTACAACTTATTTGAACATATGTTGATATATTTTAGACAAAATAAAATAAAATTATTTGTTGAAACAGTTCCTTTGCTCTGCCAGGGAACTCGGGATGGTCACTGCTATCTTTGCCCTCCCACACAAATAACCTGTTACATTACTTCTCATTGGCAAGCAAATATTCAAAATAAAATGGAGCAATGAGGAAAAAAACAATCCCCAAAAGAACATCAGTGCATCAATAGTGGATAGACAGAGAGGATCAGTATGGCACTAGCTGTTTCACCGGGCAAATTTACAAGGCACCTAATTGAAAGTTAGGGGAATTGATTGATAGTAACAGCATAATTCTCAGCAGCTGGTTCATGATAGAAACCATAACAGAGTCTTTGGAAAATCATCTGACTTCCTGCTTGCCAAGGAACATTGAATGCATGACACAAGAAAACCTAAACGGAGAGAAAAAGTAAATGGTGCAGTTAAAGACCTAATGTTTTTCTATACAAACACCTGAAATACCTAAAGTGAACAACTGGATAAGAAAGTGATATTCATACCACACTGTCGGAAGGTTGTTTCTGCTATGGCTGCAATGGTTTGTTTGTTGAACTCTTTTCCTTTGTCTTCCCCAACCTCTTGACAAAGACATCCAACGGTGTAGTGCACTGCAGCTCGAAGTCTCTGTAAGAACAAGCTATTTTTTTAAAAAAAAAATACTTTAAAGACTAGCAACGAGTTTTCAAACGTTTCAAAGAAGAAAACATAATAGCAACCAAAACATAAAACAGCAAAATTCTGTTATCTATTGCAGTACCTTGGGACGGCTTCCCGACGTGAAAGGCACTATACAAATGTATACAAATTTGTTGTTTGTTATTGTGCATCAATCATACAAAGAAAGCCAAAGTAATAGGACAGGAAATAGCCTTTCTTGGTGACTGAGCCAATACAGTACTGAAGGAAACTGAATTGAGGTGCCATCTGCCTCTAACCTTCAAGCATAAAATATTTTTCTTAAAAAAATTAGTTCTTTCCACACTGTATCACCACCAAAGAATGAAAACAAATATTTGGGGGAGGGGTCTGAACCTTGGTGGGATTTCCCTCTCCCCCAGCCTGAGGAGCCCTGCATTTGTCACACACTTGCTCCCAGTGCGTTGTGTGCTGTGCCATTGAATTGGTAATTCAGTAAGTAGAAACCAGTTGTTCTTCAATTGGCAGATAGATCGCTTTCTGAGGTTAATAATAATCCCTTTAAAAAAGTCACTAAATCCACGACTGTTTGTGTGGCGCTTCTGTGTGCAATTGGCAGTCGCAAAATACACAAGTCACTCCAATTTACAGTATATTCTGTGAAGCGCTTTGAGACATCTCAACGACAAAAACCTTACTGGCAAATAAGTGGAGTCCTGTAGCTCAGTGGTTAGAGCACTCGCTTTGCGAGTGAGAGACCTGAGTTCAATTCCCGGCAGAGGGCGAAACCTTGGGCAAGTTTCCTTACTCCACACAGAGCCTAATAATAATCCTCCAAAACCAAACACAATAATAAATTGGTCATTTTCAATCCACGACTGTCTGTGGGACATTGCTGTGTGCAATTGGCTGCCGCGTTCGCCCACAAATATACAGTCAATTCACTTTACAGTGTGTTCTGTGAAGCGCTTTGGGACGTCCTCCCGACGTGAAAAGCGCTACATCAAATGCAAGGATTATTATTATTATTATTATTATTATCAATATGCAATTCAAACAAGTCTTAAGGAATGATGTACCCGCTCTGTTCTTCGTTAAGTATTTTTAAATTGTTTTGTTTTAGGCTGGAGGGCAATATGGACAGCTGGCGAGATAATAATAATAATAATAATAATAATAATAGAACTGGAACAAATGTTTAAAAAGTTTTCAGCAATATCCTAATTGTGAAATGACCTGATAAACAAACCTATTTTACTTGTTACTCGTCATAAATATGGCCGAGCGCATAACAATAATAATAATAATAATACACAATAAATAATAATCTTTGCGTTTGTCATAGCGCCTGATCATGTGCTGTGGGACGTCTCGAAGCGCTTCACAGGATATACTGTGAAGTGCAAAACAACGCCCACAAAATAATCCCCAACATCCATTGTGAGGGGTGAGGGAGGGGGTGAGAGGGGGGACTGAGGGGGTGAGGGAGGGGGTGTTGAGGGGGAGGGAGGGGGCGGTGATGAGTTGAGAGGCGGGGCCTGCGGGAGGGGGTGAGGTGAGGGGTGAGGGAGTGTTGAGGGGGTGTTGTTGGGGGGGAGGGGGTGAGGGGGGATGTTTGTCGGTGAGGGAGGGAGTGTTGAGGAGGGGGTGAGGAGGGGGTGTGTTGGGGGGGGAGGGGGTGTGAGGGAGGGGGTGTTGGGGTGAGGGAGGGGGTGTTGGGGAGGGGGTGTGTTGGGGGGGTGTTGTGGGGGGGGAGGGGGTGTGGGGGGGGAGGGGGTGTGTTGGGGTGAGGGAGGGGGTGTTGGGGAGGGGGTGAGGCTGAGGGGTGTTGGGGAGGGGTGAGGGAGGGGGTGTTGAGGAGGGGGTGAGGAGGGGGTGTTGGGGTGAGGGGGGGGTGTTGGGGTGTGTTGGGGGGGGGCGCGGGTCGGTACCTGGGTGTGCGCGGCCCTGTCCCGCTCCGCCGCCGCCGCCATGACCTTTCCCGCTCGCGGCTCGTATTTTCCCGCCAACACTCGGCCCTACGGCGCCTCCCAGAGGACACGAGGCCGGAGAGGCGAACGCGTTCCTCGAAATCCAACCCCCACCACCTCTCTCTCTCTCTCTCTCTCTCCTCAGTACCAACCACTCCCTGTGCCTGTGTGCACCATAACAACAACAACAATAATCCTGGGGAGACTCAGCAGGTCAGGCAGCATCTATGGAGAGAGGGAAAGTGAGTCAGTGTTTCGGGTCCACGACCCTTCGTCCACAACCCGAAACGTTGACTCACTTTATGATAATAACAATAATAATAATAACAACAATAATAATAATAATCATTGCATTTGATACGGCGCCTGATCACGTCTTCGAGACGTCTCAATGGCGCGGGGAGTGTGGCAACAAAATTAAATTCGGATTTTCATGTCAAAAAATGGTTTTCAGATTCTTGGAACCTTTCTGCGGTAAATTCTGACTACAAAGTATTTTATGCACTAAGATTTATCAAACGTTGCACAAAACATTTGAGACATGCTTCGCTCTCTCCATAGATGCTGCCTGACCTGCTGAGTCTTCCCAGCGACGTCTGGTTTTGTTTTCAGATTTCCAGCATCTGCAGTATTTCGCGTTTTGACAACAATAATCATCATCGTCAACAACAACAACAACTTGTATGGCGCCTTTCACATCGGGGAGGCGCTGGACAGTGATAATAATAATCCTCATTGATTCGTAGATGGCACAGCTCAAAAACAGGTCGTTCTGCCCATTGAGTCCTGTCTGGTCCATTCCACACGAGTGCCCAATCCTAGGCTGGGGTTGATCATATTGACCACACAAAGGGTTTCGCCCACAAAATACACAGTCACTACACTTTACAGTGTATCCTGTGAAGCGCTTTGAGATGTCTCGAAGACGTGATAAGGCGCTGCATCAAATGCGAGGATTATTATTATTATTAGGGTTGACCATATTTTGTAAACCAACTCTGGTGCAGATCCTTAACGCCCACTTGAAGAGCCAGGATGGTTTTATCTCATTCGAAGCACAGCACCTTTGATAATGCAGGCTCCTCCAAGAGCTGGTTGGGAATGTTAGCCTAGACTGTGTAAGCCCAACTGTGTCAGAATGGGCTTAAACTCACACCTTCTGACTCAAGACGCAAGAGTGCCAACTGAGTCAGACTAACGCCTAAACTAGCAATGTTGTCCTTCATACTTCAATATATCAGACGTCAAAATATGACACACCAAAGTGCTACAACCTTAGAGAGTTGCAAGGGATGGTGGGTGTAAACCATACATAAGTGTGTGGTGTTTGACTTCCTTTTTGTTTGCAGAAGGTCACAAACAATCTTACCTTTATCAGCAGAGTGCGCGTTTGCAGCTCCCAGAACCGGATACCTTTGTCTAACAGCGCTTAAATCACAATGATCTTGTCAAGCGCGTTGTCTTTGGAGAGAAAACCAATGTTAACAGCTTTCTCGATCTTAATGATATTAGACCATTTTGGAGTAATGTCTGGACTACAGCGATCCAAACACCGATATTTTAAAAGAGAAGTAAGTAATATTTTCTTGGTTGCAATTTTTCTTGCCTTTTTCTGAAATACTCTGAATCATTAGTGTTAATTTTTAGATCAATCTCGATGTCAACAGAAAGAACAAATTGCATTTATATAGGGCTTTTACGTCGGGAGGAGGTTCCAAGGTGCTGGACAGTAAATGGTTTTGCACCTGAGCTGGGAGTTGGAATCAAAGAGGGATGGAAGGCAAAGTGGGGCGGGTAGGGGGGGCGGGCAAGTTGGGAAGATAACCGAAGGTGTGGTCAAAGAGGAAGTTCTTGAGACGGGTTCAATGTTGAAATGTACCAGTGAAAAAAATTCCATCTGACATGCGTTACTGTTCAAAGATCGTTCTACTAATGGTATGGAGCATATAATATTTGGTGGAATTTACTCTATTTGACCTACTAGCTTGGGACAATGGCTTATCTTTAATGCGAATATGGGATCAGACTAATGTAGGAGTCAATAATAATAATCCTTGGATTTAAAATAGCACCTTATCACATCTTCGAGACGTCTCAAAGCGCTTCACAGAATATACTGTGAAGTGAATTGACTATATTTTGTGGGCAAAACTCTGGCTCGATTGAGAGCGCACTTGCCTCCGAATCCGAATGTTGTGGGTTCAAGCCCTATGTCGGTACTTTTGGACACAGTCTACCTGGGCTGATACTGTAATATAGTGCTGGAGGAGCGATTTGTTGTGGGAGGTGTTGTCCTTTGGATGAGATGTTAATCCAAGATCGTGTCTGCCAGTTCAGGTGAACGTAAAAGATCCCAAAAAGAGAAGGGAGTTTCTCCCAGTGTTCTGGCTAACAATGTCCCAAATAAAATTGGTCATTCACGTTATGCTGTTGATGGGATATTACTGTGTTGCCGCGTTTACCTACAGGGTCTACAATTTACAGTGAAACATGTCAAGTACTTTGAGACGGATGTCCTCGTAAAATTGAAAGGCGCTGTATCAAATGAAAAGATTATTATACCCAAGTATCTAAAATAAAACACTAGAAGGATTTTCACCCAGGAAGGAATGAGTTAAGCGACACCGCCTTTTGTTTAACTCTATATTTCTGGTAACGGTCCTTGCATTTGATACAACGCCTTATCACGTCGTCGAGACATTTCAAAGCACCTCACAGGATTTTTATGTAAAGTGTAGCTTATAAGCGATCGTGAGAAGCTAAATTGCCGATAGCAATGTCCCCACAAACAGCCACACATTGAATAATTAATTTTATTTGTGGGGTAATTGCTGGCCAGGACAACTGGGAGAAATCACTTCACTTTGTTTTTCAATAGGGATCTTTACCTTCTACCTGAACAGGCAGATGGTTAGAAATATTAGAGAGACCATTCAACTCAGATGAATAGCATCCCTACCATAAATCTATACAAAGTCACTCCTCATCGTAGGAATTTACATTGTTACTCAATAATCATATGTGGGTTGAGATCAAGATTTGTGCAAAGTATAACTAACGTCATAAAATCCTACGTGCATGCTACGTGGATGCAGGATGTTAGCATGTGCTTAACCTCTTCACTGCGCGAAGCATTTCTGTCCTTTTCACCGAACAGTAGGACCCATGTAAAATGTGATCATTTTCTAGTTCATTGGGAGACAGAGAGAAAGAAAATGAGAGAGAGAGAGAGAGAGAGAGGCAGTCTACTGAGTTGACTTGTAGGCAAAGAAACCACCTTGCCCTCAAGTGTACGATAAGTGTTATCAATGACAAGCTACGTGGTGTTTAGCTGGTTAGACTCCAGCAGTTACCCCAACTCACACACTGGAGGTCCCTCCAAGCCTTGGCTGTTGCCAACCTGCGCCTGATACTTTCCAGGATCAGGTAAGCAGGATGAGTCCCTCCAGGGGAGACAGAGAGAGAGAGAGGGAGAGAGCATTGCATTCCAACAATCTATCTCTGGGATTTCCATGTGTAGGTGGGATGCCTGGAATTCTCAGCTTAGTTCGGAGACTCTTAAGTACTGCGATGGGTTTCTGCATGTGTCAGACCCACAGCGGGGCAAAAAAAATCAAGTGTGAAACACGCTTGAGACCTACACCTTGGAGCTCTATCCAAGTGCTGGATAGAGTTGGATAGAGTTACCCAATCGTAGCATCTCTCCATTTCAAAGCAGCAGCAGCAATAAGGTTGATAAAGGGATGATAAAATGGAGGGCGAGGTCCTCAAATAAAAGTGAATTGTACCCATTGTTTCAAGTGCAGTTTTCCACTGTTATACCAGCGTTGTAAACGATAAGTTGTTAATTGTTCATCTTTCTATTAGCCAATGTAACGGCCAGACGCTAAAAATCATCATAATCCTCGCATTCGATACAGCGCTTGAAAAACGATTCCACGCCCTTCATAGAGTGTTCTGCAAAATGAAGTGACGGAGCCTTTTGTAGGTGAACGTGTGTGTCCTCGAGCAGGCGAAAAGTGTGGTTACTAATAAATGTAGAACAGGTTTTCAATGAACATCGCATAATTTCTTTATCACTCAATCGTGCGTTCCTGAAAAGTTCAACGAAAATTTCAAGTCGGAACTAACTGAGACTGAGCAGAATTAGAGCACGCCTTCGCCTCTAAAGCAGGAGTTTTTCTCCTTGAAGGTTACTTTCTAAATGATTAAAAATAGCGCCATCCATCAATTTTTAAGACAGTTACATTTTTTGACGTTATGGAATGAAAAATACAGAAACTTTTTTGATCTGAACAAGTCACTGGAACACTATATAAAAGAAAGTACAGTAATATTGAAAGCTAATAATCAAAGTCATTTTGAAATTCTGAGTATTCTAAGTGAATATAGTCTATGGTTCATTCAAAGAAATTGCAAATATCAGTTTGAATATCAGATTTTAAAATCTAAACTTGTGCACTTCCTGGCTGAAGATAACAGATGCAAAGTTGTCAGTTGCAAATTGTTGTGCAGTAAGTTTAGGAGGGAAGAAAACACACGACCAGACAGACATAAAACGTAATTTTGTTATCCGCTCCTTTTGCTTCTGTGACTGCTAACTTGCTTATACCAAATGTGCAAAATCTGATATTGATTTAGTTGGAGCTGTAAGATGGTTCGCCCACAACCTAACACAGTCAATTCACTTTATAATATATTCTGTGAAGCACTTTGAGATGTCTCAAAGATGTGATATATATCAAATGCGATATATCAAATGCGAGGATTATTATCAGTAGTAGTAGCAGTGACTGCAACTAATGCTCTATGAACGATAGAAGCTTTACTATCCTCTTAAGTCAGTGAAAATAGTAGACCCAAGTGAAAATGCATTAAACAACAGATCCATTTGTCACAGGTTTCCTGTTCTTACCAAAGGCGACAGGTGGGGCTACTATCCCTTTGTTAGAGAAGGGGAAAACCAACTGGTATCATTCATGATCTAGAGACCACTCTCTGGAAAGTCCCATGTGTGCAGACATTGGGGTGAGGCCAAGATTAGGCTTGATTGTGATGCTCTCTCCTCCTCCCAATGATGGAATGGCCCAAACAGGGTGCACTGTTAGAAGATAATGGGTACCGGTAATAGATCTAATGGTTTAGGAAGAGCTTCTTCACGCAGAGGGTGGTAAGAATGAGGAACGCACTGCTCTAAGCTGTGCAAACAGTAGAGGGACCTAGGAACCCTGGAATACAATTCAAGCGCTCTGGGACACTACCCTACGTGGGGGGTGCTATATAAATGCAAGTTGTTGTTTTAAGTCCAGCAAATTGAGCACAGACAGTGTTCAGAACAGCAAGCTCTTGGCCCTTAAGGGATAGAGGATACAGTTCAAGATCCTGGACCTCACCTTCAAAGCCCTCCACGGTCTTGCTCCCCCCCCACCTCTCCGACTTCCTAATTCCCTACCAACCTGTTTGCTCCCTCCGCTCAGCGGGCTCTGGCCTGCTTCACATTCCCACCTCGCTCGCCCCACTATCGGCGAGCGGGCCTTCTCCCATTCTGCCCCCACCCTCTGGAACTCCATCCCGCCTGTCCCTCCATCTCGCCCCCTCCCTCGCCACCTTCAAGACCCACCTCAAGACCCTCCCCTTCGACTGTGCTTTTGCTCTCTCTGCTTCCCCCCTCTCTCACCCCAACCCTCAGCTCGGGTCCATAACTCTGAGTGTCCAGCACCTTGAAACGTCCTGACATGAAAGGCGCTCTACAAATATAATTTTGTTGTTGATGTTGTTAAACTGCGACTCTATTCACCCCACAGTGGGGGAAACCCTATCCCTCTTTTTTTCAATGTTTCCTGTTTGCTCCTAATTTTCATTCAACTGAAGTTATAACTCATGGGGTTTATTTTGTATTATCGTTTTTCAGGTTTCTTCGCAGATACAGTGTGTGATGTGTCTTCCAGGTAATTCACAAATTAAACATTATACTTGTCGGCCGTGTGGGGCAAAACCTTAGGCAAGTTTCCGTACTCCACACGCTTGTTTACCGAGCAGAAAGTGGGAACCCAGTTGTTAGTTGATTGGCAGATCGCTCTCTGGCGATAATAATCCTCAAAAAAAAATTGGGTCACGATTGTTTGTGGGACTTTGCTGTGTGCATTTGGCTTCCTCGTTTCGACCACAAATATACAGCCAATCTGTTATACAGTATATTCTGTCTCAATATACTGTATATGGTTTACCTGAAACTCTTCAGGTCTCTCGAGTCTGTAATGAAAGAATCTGCTATTTGTCCCAAAACGGTAAATTCATCCCAAATCTTTCCTTTATTTTTTCTCGTTTTAAAAAACGTTTAAAGATGGGCAGTGCCACAAACAAGTCTTTGAACGTACAATCAAACGAATGATCTTACTGGATGAAATGGGACATTTCTCCAAAGCCTGTTTTTGAGTGTGAGGGTTTGCCACACAGGCTGTTAATATCAACACCGGTTCTCTTTCTCTAATGGAAGGTGAATACAGGGCACAGCCGTGTTCGGGAGGAAACCAGGGGAAGTGTGAACGTTGTGATCCGGAGACATACACCGAAATGAACAATTCCCTCTCAGAATGTCGCAAGTGCTACGGGCCCTGTGAAGGTAAACGCAAATTAACCCCAAGATAAATCTGTCCACTTAAACATAGGTGAGTCAGCCGGGTTCAGTTCAGTAAGGCTCTCGCCTCTGAGTCAGAAGGCTGTGGGTTCAAACCCCACGTCGGGACTTAAAAACTCATAGCCTTTGTCTGATACTCCAATACAGCGCACAACATTGTTGGAGGTGCCGTCCTTTGGATGTGACATTAAACCGAGGTCCTGTCAGCCTCTTAAATTCTGATCACAATCTTAAATTTGAATACAAAATGTTCTTTTCAGCCTCAACTCCCTAGAACTCCACCGTCTGTCCCTCTGACTTGCTAACCTCGCTCACCTTGTTCAAGGTTCATCTCAAGACCTACCTTTCTCTCTCTGTGTTGCCTAACTCGCCTCTTCCTTAATTGTTTTGACGCAGGTAACATTGTAGAAACCGTTGAATGTACGCCTAAAACAAACAGGAAATGTGAATGTCCTCCCCAATATTACTGTTTGACTGAGGATAAAACCAAGTGTGAAAGGTGTCAGAAGTGTCAGGACAAGAAAAAGCACTTTTCAGGTACAGACAACTTTACTGAAACCTTACTGCCAATTCTGCTCTGCAGAAACTTTTCTATTTAATGCTGCATTCAGCCCCGAAACTCTGGAACACTCTTCCTCTATCCCTTCGCCTTCCTCCTTCCTTTCTCTGGGGCAATATAAGCCCTACATATTCCCTACTGCCAGAGGCCCGCTCACCTCTAACGCAGAAGACTGTGGGTTTTAAGCCCAAATCAGGCTCATAGTCCACACTGATGGGGGGGAGGGGGGGGCATATTATCACAGTGTCCATCTTCAGATGAGATTTTATCTCTTTAATAATAATTAATAATACTTGCATTCGATATAGCACCTTATCCCGTCATTGAGGCGTCTCAAAGCTCTTCACAGGATATACCGTAAAATGTAGTGACTGTATTTTGTGGGCAATATTGTTTGACCTCACTCTTTTCACCATCTTTCATTCCCCACCAACCCCAACCCAGCTCCCACCGTGGCTCTGGTGCTGTGTAGAAATGCTTTGAGACGTCCTAACACGAAAGGCGCTTTGTAAATTATAAACGTAAATTGCACTGTATTGTTTTAGGGCCCGTCAATCTGGTGCAACGTTAAAAGATCCCATGACACCAGTCAAAAAGAGACAGGAGTTTCTCCCAGCCTCCTGGCCAAACATCCTCCCAATAAATAAGTTATTCACTTCATGGCTTTATATGAGATAAATGCAAATTGGTTGCCACATTTGCCAACAAATATATGGTCACTTCCCTTACAGCACAGTTGTCTGTCGAGCACTTCGACTTGTTTGACATCAAATGTTATGTATCACACGCGGGGTTTTTTTTAAAATCACTTTGTTTTTAGAACACCAAAGAATTCATTACAACGAAGCATGCCAGTTATGTCCTTCAGGAACCTTTCAGAACATCACAGGAATAATGCAAAGGTGCCAGCCTCACACCAAGTAAGTACAGCAGTTGATGTGACAACAAAACTCCAATTGGCTGAGTGTCTGACACGTGCGGAAACCCACTGCTGTGTTTAAGTCTCCAAACCAAGCTGAGAATTCCATGTGTCCCACCTACACCTGGAAATCCCAGATTGTTGGACTGGAATGCGCTCTCTCTCTCTCTCTCTCCTTACCTAATTCCAGAAAGTATTAGGCACAGGAATCAGAAACTCCCCGGAGTGCTCTGTTTGGCAATATTGCACTTACAATTGCTTTGTCAAACCAGACTGTCTGTGATGGACTGCGCACTATTTGTTGGCCACCCTTTGAAGTTGTTGTGTTTTCAAAATGTGGGATTAAGTTTACAGTACAAAATTTGTACAACGCCTTTCGCGTTGGAAGGACGTCCCAAGGCGCTGAACAGTGAGGGATTTAGACTTTTTGGACCTGAACCGGAGGGGGCGGGACAGGATCAGGGAGGGTAGGGAGGGTGGCCAAAGGCTCGGTCGAGGAGTGGGGTTATGTGACGCACCTTGGTGTTTGCAAGCTTTGTAAGTTAATTTGTACAAAGGGAATTACAGGTTTCCCTTCAGTATGCAATCAGAAACCAGCACTTCCTCCCCGCCCTAACGCGATTGAGTTCCCAGCTCGGGTGCCCAGTCCGTTTGTGTGAAGGATCTTTGGAACATCCTCCTAGTGTGAGGGGTGAGGGATGTAAACATACATACGCTGTATAAATATAAATTGCCATCACTGTCAGAGCCAGATAATAATCACTAACTCGGACAAGATAACGATCCGATCTCTCGCGAAGAATTAGATTGTTTTACTTACAAATTAAGATCTTAACGCTCAGCCCGAAGAGAAGATTGACTTGACTTTGTGTTCCCATGACAATTGAGTAACTGATAAAATGTTTTGTACAGCTGCACAAATTTGGGGAAGATCCTTCACATCATTGGCAACAGCTCAGCAGACAACCACTGTATCTCTCCATCATCGTCTTCAACACCAACACCTTCCACAAATCAATATCTTCCACCAAGCAGTAGGTTTCAAATGCTCTCAATCTGAGACTTCAGATTCGGACAAACCTTCTCCTCTTTCCATCCGAGAGGCTGTAAAATGCAATACGTGAAACCTATTCCCTCACATGAGGGAGAGGGGAATAGAAGGGTGTGAGAGGGAGTAAGGAATGGGTGGAAACTTGTGTGGAGCATCAACACCAGCAAGGACTGGTCGGGCTGAATGGCCTGTTTCTGTGCTATACATTCTTTGTAAATCTTTGTGAATGTATATATATATATATTTTTTTTAAAAAAACATGCAATCATTTCCCTTTATTTCAGAATCTTTTTCAAGTTTCTACATCATGTGGCCCTTGGTGTTTTTGTTTATGTTATGCATAGTGATACTTATGAAAACAAAATCGTGTCAAATTGTGCGCAAGAAGCAAGGTAAGGAAAAGAGCTTCGCGCCTGTTATGTCCTTTGACAGGATTTTCTGATATTACTTAAATCACTGCTAAATATAGAAGGGAGGGTGGCACAGTTACTTGTGCTTGAGAGTGGACTGTAGGTGGCTCCAACAGAAGGGAAACAGCAATCAGAAATCTTGCCAATGATCACACATTTGTTTGTTGTACTCACGGCAAATATATACGTGCAAGGCGGTGCGTACACCTCAGGCGTGGTCACCTCCTGTCTTTAGGGTGTTGCCGTTGTTCAGTCCATACCTGTGATCCAAGCTGTCAGCTTTCCCCCGCAAAGCATACAGTCAATTGGCTTGACAGTGTATTCTATGAAGCGCTTTGAGACGTCTCGAGGAGGCGATAAGGCACTGTATCGAACGCAAGGACTATTATTAATATTATTATAGCTTGGCTCAGCACTCTCGCCTCCAAGTCAGAGGGTTTGGGTTCGAGCCCCACGCTGAGACATGTGAGTTACTCGTACTTTCAGATGAGGCTTTAATCCAAGGTTCCATCTGCCTGTTCAGTCAGAGTAATGACGACACTTTACAGTGAGGCACTTTGAGATGTTTGACAATGTGATAAGACTCTACATCAAATAGCAAAGTTATATATATATTATTCTTTATCTGTTTTACAGGCCTGGGAGTGCTGGTAAAACTGAAAGTAAGTACTTTATTTAGGTGCTTCTACACACAGATTGGTTTGGTTCCTTCGGCCCAATTGATTTCATCCTTCCAGAATCCCCAGCCTACCCTCTTCCCACTACAGCACCAAATTTAGTAAATAAGTCCCAATATCCTGACTCAACCTGCAATTGTTAATTATTCTCTGGATCAAGAAATGCTTTCCGTTTTTAGTTTGAAAATAAACTTATTTTTTAATTCAAAATAAAGACAAGTTACTATTTTCTAAAATTGTATCGAATGTAGAAAAAAAAGCACTTTGCAAACCTCTTTTGTTTTCTTTTTTTTTTGCTTTTTTGGGGAATTAAAAAAAGTTTATTTGCATATGTGGCACCAAGAGTGACCTGAATACCAACAACAACCCCGGAGTCGAGCAAAGGGAAGGAATGGCAACAGGAGAAGGGCTCCCTTGTGAGGATGAAGGCTTCAGTGATTTGAAACCTCCGCTACCAACTACCAACGAGAGTGAAATCCCGCAGTTTAAAACCGAAATTATAGATATTGAAACAGTCGCAGACTCTGGTGAGTGGAACGCTTCTTTCCACCTTCCAGCCCATCATCATCATCATAATAATCCTTGTATTTGATGCAGCGCTTTATCAGGTCGTTGAGGCACCTCAAAGCGCTTCACAGAACATGTTGGTGACTGGTTATTTTGTGGGAGAAAAGCGGCAGCCAATTGCGCACAGCGGTGTCCGTGGATTCATTTATTTTAAAAATGATTACCTCCGGAAAGCGATCCGCCATTCCACCTCAAAAACCAGGTTCCTACTGACTGCTGAGTGAACAGAGGAGCAAGGAATCTTGCCTAAGGTTTGGCCCCCACCCGGGGATCAAACCGGGGCCCTCTCGCTCGTGAGGCGAGCCCTCCAACCGCTAAGGTACGGGATTCCACCCTCTTGTGCCACCACGGCAAATGACATTTTGCACCGGCCTTTTCACACAACGGAAAGATTCTCCAGGAAGCGCTTTACAGAACGAGATTGACTTAAAATAAAGAGGACCCAACGAGGCAGCTCACAAGAATGGGTTTGGATGAAGAAGGCCATCGGCCCTTCTGATCTCGTCCTTCCCGCACACCCACCCGATCATCTCCCCATCGCTGCATCGAGCCGCTTTTGAAATGAGTCCCAACGTCCTGGCCTAAGCCAACCTTAACTGCCTCAGCTAAAAAAGGCACATTCAGGCTTCCTCCTCCCAGGGCTCGACAACAAATAAACCACAAAAAAGGGCCCAAAGTTTACAATTAAAATCCGCTCACCTCATATCTAAGCCCTGAGATGAATGAATCACTTACCTGCAGAGCTGCCACTGTTGGTGTCTATGGAGTAACCCTTAACTTATTTAAGCAATGCTCCTTCTACCACTAACCTTACCCAGTGTCCTCCAAAGCCTTTCACCCACCAAAACACACAGACACTACACTTTCCAGTACATTGTGTGAAGCGCTTTGAGATGTCTCAACATGATAAGGATCTTCATCAGATGCAAGGATTATTATTATTCTGTGCAACAGTAGCCGACGGAATAGATTTTAATGTAATTTGTTTTGTTCCTGTCTAGTTCACACCAAAAGGAGTATAGAAGAGAACATCCCGTTTCCAGTACAAGAAAATGGCAGGAACTCCAACATCTATTATCCTATAGAAGAACAGGGTCGGAAGCAATATTGCCAGCTAACAATGCTGGACACCAAGTGTGCAACTCAAACACAAAGCCCCTTTCTAAGTGCCAGGAAATACCTTCAAGACCAAAGTCCCCTTAAAAGCCACTTTTTTGCTGTAAAAACTGAAGAATTTGATAATAATCCTTGCATTTGATACTGCGTCATATCACGTCGTTGAGATAACAATAACAACTTGCATTTATATAGCGCCTCTCATACAGGGTAGTTTCCCAAAGCATTTCCCAGAATATACTGCAAAATGAATTGACTGTATATTTTGTGGGCGAAACCTTGATGGTGTCAACGGCAGACAAACTGGACTATTGGGTTATCAGCAAAATCAAACCCGCCTCACATTGAAAAATCAGTATGTAATTGAGCTAAGATATATATATATATATCTGAGGATTATTGGAAGAGTTTGCGTTTTTCAACGCATAAGAAATTCACCATCACACCCTACCTACCCAGCTTTGGGGGGAAACTCAAGTGTGCGTTGACGAAAGACCCATTGGATCTCATCCTTCCAGAATAACCCTTTGCGTTACACCATCTAGTTTCTTAAATGGGTCCGTAGTCCCCGGCCTCAACTACCTTTCCCTGAAAACCCCACGCCAACTTCTGTAGGGAAACCCTCCGTGTACAGAATAACAATCCTCACATTTAGTACAGTGCCTTTTCATGTTGTCAGACGTCTCAAAGTGCTTCACAGGACTTTACTCTGAAGTGTAGTGACTGTGTTTTGTAGGCGAACAAGGGACATAATTTGCACTCAGCAAAACAGCCACAAATTCAATCACCAATTATAATATGGGGGGGGGGGGGTGGGGGGGGGAGCGGGGAAAGAGGATGTGTTGGGCAGATCAGGTTTATCATATGAAGCTTTGCTATGAAAATAAATCACTGCTGTGTTCTATAATATACTCCACCTACTGTTAATAAAAATGTACGTTTAACTTTCATGAAATACCCTCGAATTGGGTGTGGTCTGGAACACGTGGTTTGTGATTTTAAATAAATGATTAATATATTCAACACTTTGCAGAGGATCAGACGACTCTCAAAATGGCTGTCGTGAGCACCCACCTGTTGACCCATTTCCCATCGACACGCAGCAAATGCCTTTGCCGCCCCCGACACCAGATGGCAGTCCAGCCCCGAGTGTCAAACATGGCGCAGTGTTGGATTGCAACCCAGTTACCCCGGTCACTGCTGAAGCTGCACAGCGTCGGGCCAACACTGTGCAGATTCCCCACACAAAAGGGGTCATTCAGGGAAAGGGCGAGTACGTGTGGACTGAAAGGATTGCTCTTTCAAAGAACCGGCACAGACACAATGGCACTTCTGTGTTGTAAACTCCTGTGGGTCTAAGACCCAGAGGCGGTGCACAGGAAAGCACTGAAGTCTGAGCAACGGCTAGTCAAGCTCGGGCTATTCAACCTCGCCAAGAGATGTCTCAGGAGATCTTCTAAAGGTCTAATATATTTTTACATGGGATTGAGAAAATAAATCCAGGACATCCACCAAGGCAGCAGAACAAGAGGGGGACGAGGCTCAGGGTCGCAAAGGGCAATTTCACAACAGTTGCTGGGAAGTATTCTGTACAGTCCTGCAGCTCAGTGGTTAGAGCACTCGCCTCGCGAGCGAGAGGATCTGGGTTCGATTCCCAGCCAGGGCGAAACGTTGGGCAAGTTCCCTCACTACGCACCCCTCTGATTGCCTGGAGGTAAGAGGTAACCCGGTTGTAAGTCAATCGGTGGATCGCTTTTCCAGGGGTAATAATCCTTTCAAAAAATATAATAAATTGGTCCCTCAATCCACGGCTGTTTGTGGGGACGCTGCTGTGCGCAATTGGCTGCCGAGTGAGTTTCGCCCACAAAATACACAGTCAATTCACTTTACAGTATATTCTGTGAAGCGCTTTGAGACGTCTCGAAGACGCGATAAGGCGCTGTATCCCTGGATACCCTTAACCCAACACATATCAACCCACCTCAGTCTTGAAAATTTCAATTGAATGTTCTAATTTATGGCATTTCTTATTGAGATCCTTCATCAGGAACACCGACAGCATTCCCCGTTGACATCCTCTTCTGCAGCACGGCATCGATTTGCCTCGTGCAAATGGTGGTTTGTGCACAACGCACAGTCACTCCACTTCACAATAGGATCAAAGTAAAAAGGCAGCAGGGAGGTGGGGCAGATTAGGCGGTCACAATTTTAAGATACTTTATTATAAGCTAAAAGTCAAGTGGCATCACAAAAAAAAGAGACTTCAAATACCATGAACCGTTGCACCTTAAAATGCCTTTGGAAAACACGCTGGTGATTTGCACCTTAGTGGCACCCAGACAGGGAGGAAATCCTCTATATAATCTACAGTACATTTAAGTTATCAATACTACAGCTCGCTCGTCTTAAATAGCCACAAAATGCGGAATGTTACTTTAGGAAGATATTTTTACGTGTGGCCCGCCTCTCAAGCATTGTACGTGGACGAGGAGACATTGCCTCCGTGACCGGTCCAGTTGGTGTGGATGAAGGTTCCCGGTTTGGAAAGGAGTTCGTAGGTGTGGGCTCCAAAGTAATCCCTTTGTGCCTGAGCGAGAGATACAGAGACAGACAGAGAGAGAGAGAGAGGAAGGAACAAAGAATCATCATAAATTAATCCGTATAATAATAATAATACTTTCATCACACATTCGAGAAGTCTCAAACTTCAGTGCAAAGTATAGCGAAGGAAGGAAGAATAGAGAGAGAGAGAGAGAGAGAGAGAGAGAGACAGACAGTTCAAAGTCCTGGAGTGGGGTTTGAACCCCAAAAGCTTCTGACTCCCGAGATGAGAGTCACCGACCGACAAAAACAGGTAGTGTTTTTAATCGGGTCCCCGAGACGCCCGAAAGCGTTCAGACCAAAGAAGAAAGAAATGGAGGAAGAGGGGGGAAACTAAAACCGCTGAGGGACGGAAGGAGGTGGTGCTGTTTACCTGGAGAAGGTTCGCTGGCATCATCTCATGCCTGTAGCCGTCATAGAAGGCGAGAGCGGTACTGAAGCATGGCATGGGGATGCCCAACTGGACACCGGTACTGACCACATGACGCCAGGACTTCTGCAGATACAAGAGTCACGGTGAGGCACTGGCTACGTGCGGCTTTGTTACGGGGCCCGTTTAAGGCCCATCTCAAGACCCTCCCCCCCCCCTCCCCACCGGCTCGGGTCTAAATCCCCGACTGTCCAGCACTTTGGGACATCCTCCCAACTGCGTAAATGTGATTTGTCCACGTGGTTACTGTACCTGACAATCCTGGACAGCCTTTTTGAAGAAGTCGTTCAACAGCAGGTTCTGTAGCTTGGGATTTGTTTCAAAGGCTTCTTTGATTTTTCCCAGAAACACGCTGTGTGCAGAGAAGGCACCGGTTACAAACCTTTCACTGGCCGCCCGCAGAATACACAGTCACTCCACTTCACAATATATTCCGCGAGACCTCTCAACGACGTGAGAAAATGCTAGACCAAATGCATGGTTAATTATATTATATAGTATTATTAGATAAAGCAAATAACCGGTTACAAAGCCAGCAAAAAAAACAGCGTCAGAGAGCAACCCCTCCTTTCCATATGCCATAAGGACCCAGCTTGCCAGGCAGCAGCTTTACTGATATATACAGGAGCCAAAGCCAGAGATCCTGACCTGGCTTCATTGAGTTTAGGGACACAGGAACAGGATTAGGCCATTCAGCCCCTCGAGCCTGTTTCTCCGTTCTATTAGCTCAAGGCTGATCTGTACCTCAACTCCAAATACCCGTCTTTTTTTTTTTAATTATATTTTTTTTAATGAATTAGTAATAGATTTTTATTGAGCTGAGTGCGTGCGAAGGGAAGCGGGAGGAAGGCTGGGAGTAGGATTCATCTGATGAGGAAATTCCTATCTGCAAAATCTGCATTTTAAGCTTCAGACCAAAGAGAATTCCTTACCTCCTGATAATGCAGCCTCCTCTCCACATCAGAGCAATTCCACCATAATTCAGAGACCAGCTGAACTCTTTCGCTGCCTGCCTAAGCAGCATAAATCCCTGGGCGTAGGAGATAATCTTCGAGGCGTAGAGAGCCTGTGGACCACAAAAGGTAAGCCACTCACATGTTAGAACGTTAACCAGTTACTACACTTCACAGTAAAATCCTGTCAAAGGCTTTGAGATGTCTTGACAACGTGGTAAGGCACGACAACAACTTACGTTTCCGCGAGAGAGAAGGGGACGTAACCAAAGGCGCAGTCGACGACGAAGGTTTTCGGGTAGGATTTAAAGACAGATAAGGGGGGGGGGTGGGTGGAGGGTTGGCACAGAGGAGCTGAGGGCGTTATAATCAAACACAAGGAATATTATTGTGCTCAATTAGCTGTCCCGTATCTCCCACAAAATATCTCAACAGTATGATAAGGCGCTATATCAAATGCAAGGATTATAACTATTAATATGCAAGTCTTCTCGCCGATATTTAGTCCAAGCGCCAAAGCTCCTACCTTACGGATATCTTCCAGGAAAGCCTTACGATCCCCGGTGAATTTGGAGTCTTCGGGTCCCGATAACTGCTTGCTTGCGAGTAACCGTTCCTCTTTGAGCGAGGACAAGCACCTGGCAAACACAGCCTCTCCTGAAACACACCAACAAGGAACGAGATCAGGCCAGGGGCAAAGTCACCGCCAACTAACTCTTAACAGTCTAACACTAAGAAACTAACAGCAAAGAACACTCACTTACCTGCCAAAGGGGAAAATCACTTTGCTCAGTGTATAGGAGGCACAACAACAACAAATGACACTATCACAGCTCCTTTCACGTCGGGAGGAGGTCCCAAGGCGCTGGGATCAGGAGGGGTGGAGGGCGGGGAGGGTAGGGGTAAGAGGGTGACCGAAGGCGCGGTCGAAGAGGAAAGTCTTGAGAGTCGAGGGGACTCTGGGACGGAGTTCCAAAGGGATCGGAGCAAATCACACTAAATCCCTCGAAGCGCTTTGGGATGTGAAAGGTGCAAAGGCCGAACATTAGGATCATTAATTATTATTAACAATAATACGCTCCAAGTTGCCCAGAGTTGCTGCCAAAAATATACGGTCGGTTCACTTTAAGGTATATTCCGTGAAGCGCTTTGAGGCGTCTCGAAGATGTGATAAGGCGCTGTATCAAATGCAGGGAATATTATTATATGTTGTTATTACCTATCAGTGTGACTGGCATGCCGTACTCCAGGGAGGAAATGGCTGTCCATTTCCCCGTTCCCTTCTGCCCGGCCGAATCCTTGATCTGAGGCAGCAGGTATTTGCCGGATTCATCCCGGAATTTCAGGATGTCCGCCGTGATTTCGATCAGGAACGAGTCCAGCTCGGTCTTATTCCACTCCTTAAAGACCTGGAGGTGAAATAAAAGGAGGTATGGGTGAACTTGTGTGTGTGTGTGTGTGTGTGTGTATCTGCACGCGTGGGTTTGTGTACACGTGTGTTTGTGTGGATGTGCGCACAACTTTGCATAGTTTAACTTCGCCACTAAGAAGCTGAGCAGCTCGTTATACCCACGACCACGATCCAACAGAGAATCACTCGGATCATAAAGGGACGAGCCTCTCGTTGTGCAATGAGACTTGATGGTAAATGGGGGCTTTTGGGGAGGAGGGAACAGGGTTTAAATGGCGGATGTGAAAAACTATGAAACTTTTGACAAAGGAAATTAAGAGACATTTCAACTGTTCAACTTAGTAACAAGAGGCCACGAACAACAACAACTTGCGTTTATATAAATCCCTTCGTGCGGGCTAGTGTCTCCGCAGGCTTAAACCCGGGATTATCAACTCAAATCAGTGGCTGCGCCTTCAGCCACTACCCCCCGGAACCCTTCCTCTATCCCTCCGCCTTGCACCCTCCTTTCCCATATTCAGATCGCTCCTGAAAATCTTCCTCTTCGACCGTAACTACGGTCACCTCCCCCCGCCCCCCCCCTCCACCCACCCCACACCCCCACCACCGGCTCGACATCGTGCTCCCCCAACCATCAAGCGCTCTGGGACGCCGCCCTGTGTGAGGGGCGCTGTGTGAGAGCAAGTCGTCGATAGGGGCACCTGGAGATGCTGACAGCCGAACAGTTCGATCCTGGGCTGTAAAGTACTGGGATTCTACACACGTGTATCTACAGAGGGTCCGGGGGGTGGGGGTGGGGGGTAGGGGTTGGGAGAGGGGGCACTCACATCCGCCATCTCGTCGTGTTCCATGTTGAGGACATCCTTCATCAGGTGGTAAGCTTCGCAGATCAGCTGCATGTCTCCGTACTCAATGCCGTTGTGTACCATCTTCACAAAGTGGCCGGCTCCTTCATCGCCCACCTTTTGAAAGAGAGAAGCCGTCAGCTCGACCCCCTGCCAACCAAACCTGCTTCACCTCGAAACCGATCTGCGGAAACACTGTTACAGCGAGCGAAACCTTAGGCAAGTTTCCTCACTCCACCCACACGCCTGGGTTTACGTACGTAGGAACCCGGTTGTTAGTCAACTGGTGGATCGCTTTCTGGGGGTAAGAATCCCTTCCAAAAAAAGGTCACTTAATCCAACATGAACCTGCGTGAACACGATCCAACATCAGCTCCAGCTGGTTCCGCGTGAAGGATTTTTTTTGGGCCTCTGCCCGTCAAGAGGCTCAGCGCCTTTCTCATCGCAGGAGTTGAGAGGAAAAGAATTTCTTGTCCACTCACCCAGTCGCAGCACGGCTCGCCGCTTCCAACCTTGGCTGCGATGCTCTGGAAGATGTCCTTGATGTGAGGCCTGTGGGAGTCAGGGACACGATAAAGAGAAGAAAATGGTCGCGTTCAGTCACGACGCATTGACCCACACAAGGTTACGCTGGGTTTCTCACTGTGTTGCTTCCAGACAACTGGCAGCAGCAGCCACTTCAGATCTATAAACGCAGCTGGCTATTGACGAACCTTGCATTGCACCCATAAGACGTACAACAACCAAGACGTAAATGGCGGCGAGAAGAAGTTGTGTTTATCCCACGCTCCTTCACGCGGAGCAGCGTCTCGGAGCGCTTAAGACCCGGGGACGCAGCAAAGCAGCGGGAAATCGTTTCAAACGAGGTTCCGTCCCACACACGTACCAGGCCTCTTTGTCGCCTCCGGGCATCAGTGAGGGTCCGTACCGGGCTCCGTCCTCTCCTCCGCTCACCCCGCTACCCACAAACAGCAAGCCTTTGCTTTTCAGCTCCGCACACCTCCTCTAGGGTTCAGAACGAACGATACCAGGGTAACAACGAGTCGCATTTATACAGCACCCTTCACGTGGGGGGAGGGGGGCGGGGGCGGAGGGTCCCGGAGCGAGTCTGATAACGTCAGTGGGCGCTGTTACTAAACTTCGTTACTATTAATGCGATTTCCTGATTTAAGTTGATTTCATGCGTTTCAAAGCAGCAAAAACTACACGAATAACAAGAAGAGACTGTTCGATCCACCAGTCGTGTAGGTACAGTACTGCTTTCCAGTAAAACTACCCATAATGTTAGTAAGCAGTTAACCCTTAGCGTCCTGGCACCCGTTACAAAATAAAATAATAATAATAAATAGTTTGGGGACATGACAGGTGCAAGCGACTGCCCGGAGGGTTGGACCTTGTTCTTTTTCGTTCAGCGATTCTCATGCGCTTTTTATGGCTGAAAGGTCTTCGCGATAGGGACAGGAGAGCCCACACTCACCGTCGTGTCTCGATATTCCGAGTTCCCACCGTCAATAATAATGTCGCCTTTGCTCAACAGCGGAGTCTGAACAACAACAACAGAAAACAATGTCACCGGCGCAGCTGTGGTCGGTCAGTCAGGTCAGTGCTGACTTATACAGATCAGACTTATGTTTTGCTGTATTGCATTAAAATATCTGTCACAGTCGAATAAACTGGGGGAACAGCTGGAATGGGCTAAATAGCTTCTGCTCTACCCTGAGATCTGTGTCTGCAGTAAACAGAATGATAACACATTGGAACATGGACACTGGTTTGAGCACCACTGTTCCTGCTCCATTGCCCCACGGCCCAACCTCGTGCCTCTTGGTGGTATGATGGCAGTGTTCCCGCCCACCCGTCTATAGCGATATTAAACCCTTCTCCCTGTTCAGGTGGATCTTAAAAGATCTCTATAGCACTGGTCGAAAAGAGAAGGGAGCTTCTCTCCCTCTCCAACAATTAAAATTGGTCGCTCGCTTCATGGCTGTTTGTGGGACATTCCTGGGCGTGAACCGGCTGCCACATTTGCCCTACAGGTACACGGTCACTACACTACAGAGGGCATCAGCTGAAGTGCTTTGAGACCCAATTAAAACTGGTCGCTGGCTCCACGGCCTCTGTAGGACACTGCTGTGCGCTATCGGCTGCTGTGTTGGCCCCCAAAATACACAGTCGCTCCGTCCCCACATACCAGCTTGTTGATGAAGTCGTCCACAGCCTGCCCCGCCTTGACCAGCAGCACGATACGTCGAGGCTTCTTCAGCTTACACACCATCTCCTCCAGGGAGTGCGCGCCAATCACCTTGGTGCCTTTGGCTTCGTTCTGCAGGAAACTGTCTACTTTGGAGACCGTCCTGTTGTAGGCACAGACCTGCAGAGCAGAGAGCGAACACAGGTTATGGCATGATGTGAGCAGCCCCCACCCTCTCCCTGTAATAATAATAATAATCCCTCTCCCCCACAAAGATTAATATTCTGAGGTCACTTCTGCATATAGATTTGATATCGAACCGATTCTTCGCTTACATATGGGCTATGGGATAAGACACTTGCAGTCACTTCCCAGCACATCATTGAAGTGAACTAGGGAATGGATTCGGAGGCATTAATGTCCGCCTTCCACCCACCCCACCCCCCCACACACACACACCTCCACCCCCCCCCACACACACACACACCTCCACCCCCCCCACTCCCACACACACTTCCCCCAGTTTCTACACTTACCACAAAGCCATGGTCGTTCATGTTCAGAATCAGGTTCTGGCCCATCACGGCCAAACCGATGAGAGCAATATCCGCTCTGTCGGGACAAACAGAATTCCCGGAGTTTAGTAATAATTTGCTGCATTTGAGAATCCCTGTATTTGATGCAGCACCTGGTCACATTGCTGAGACGTCTCAAAGCGCTTCACGGAAAATATTCTGAAGTGGAGTGACTGTGTCTTTTGCGGGTGAAACGCGGCGGCAAATTGTGCACAGCAGTGCCTCCGCCTACAAACAGTCGTGGATTGAGTGACCAAATTATTATTATTGTTTTGAAGGGAATATTATACCCCGGAAAGCAATCCGCCAATCGACTAAGAACCGGGTTCCTACTCACTGCTGAGTAAATAGAGGCGCGTGGAACAAGGAAAGTTGCCCAATGTTTGGCCCCGCCCGTAACTGGATCATTTATCAGTCCACTCCCTCACGCAAAAATGATTATTATAATAATAATCTTTACACTCGATACACATCGGAAGGACGTCTCAAATCAACAGAAATCTGCTTCCAAATTAAAACGAATCGAGTGTGAGTTGAGGTAGAGATCAGCCAATGATTTAATACGAGCGCAGAACAGGCTTGAAGGGCTGAATGGCCTCCCCCCCGTTGCCATGTTCCCAAACAGTGATCTCGCTAAAAAAAATTCTACGCAATCTGGAACCTTAAGACGGTTTTAAGGTGAAGGTCACCAGGAACGTTGGGGACAATGTTATCAGTTTAAACTTTACGCAATCCCTCACTTCCCCAAAGCTCAGTTCCAGTTTCACAACCCTCTGACGTAATACTTCAATTAGGGGCAGAGAGACGGGATTCTGAACTTGTGTGGCAACAGCACATCGTGTTACAACCCCAACGTTTCCCAACGCCGCCCCTCCTTCTGCAACAAGGAACTCGTCTTCCAAGAAGATTGCTGCCACAAAACAAGGCAGAAATACAGCACATACAATAATAATAATAATAATAATAATCCTTGCATTTGATACAGCGCTTTTCACGTCGGGAGGACGTCCCAAAGCGCTTCACAGAACACACTGTAAAGTGAGTTGACTGTATATTTCTCAGTCTACAGCTGTTTGCGGGGACGCTGCTGCTGCGCGCAATTGGCCGCTGCGTTCCGCCCCTAAAATATACAGTCAATTCACTTCACGGTTTATTCTGTGAAGCGCTTTTGGGACGTCTCAAAAAAAATGCATTATTATTAGTAATTAAAAATAAAAAAAGTGTGTGTGTGTGTGTGTGTGTGTGTGTGTGTGTGGGGGACAAATTTAACAGCAGATTATAATCTTCCCCTTCAACATGACATTCCCCCCCACACACACACCCCCACACACACACACCCCCCCACACACACACACACACACACACACCCCACACACCCCCACACACACCCCACACACACCCCCACACACACACCCCCCACACACACCCCACACACACCCCCACACACACACCCCCACACACACACACCCCCACACACACCACACACACACCCCACACACACACACCCCCCACACACACACCCCACACACACACCCCCACACACCACCACCCCCACACACACACCCCCACACACACCACACACACACCCCCACACACACACCCCCCACACACACACCACACACACCCCACACACACACCCCCACACACACACCCCCCCACACACCCCCCACACACCCCTCCCACACACACCCCCACACACACACCCCCACACACACACCCCCACACACACACACACACACACCACACACACCTCCACACACACACCCCCACACAACACCCCCCCACACACCCCCACACCCCCCCCACACACACCCACACACACACACCCACACACACACACCCCCCCCACACACACACACCCCCACACACACACCCCACACACACACCCCCACACACACACCCCCACACACACCCCCCACACACACACCCCCACACACACCCCCACACACACACCCCACACACCCCCACACACACACCCCACACACCCCCCACACACACACCCACACACCCCCACACACACACCCCCACACACACCCCACACACACCCCCACACACACACCCACACACCCCCACACACACACCCCCACACACCCCCACACACACCCCCACACACACACCCACACACCCCCACACACACACCCCCACACACCCCCACACACACACCCCACACCCCCCACACACCCACACACACCCCACACACCGCCCCCCCCCCCACACACACACCCCCACACACACCCCACACACACACCCCCACACACACACCCCCACACACACACCCCCACACACACCCCCACACACACACCCACACACCCCCCACACACACACCCCACACACCCCCACACACACACCCACACACCCCCACACACACACCCCCACACACCCCCACACACACCCCCACACACACACCCACACACCCCCCCACACACCCCCACACACCCCCCCACACACCCCCCCACACACACCCACACACACACACCCCCCCCCACACACACACACCCCCACACACACACCCCCACACACCCCCACACACACCCCCACTCCCCCCCACAGGAAGCACTCACTTGGCCATCGCCGCTCTCTCACTCCGCACTCGGACACAGAGGCACTGCTCTGTGACTGCGCGTCAGTCCCAGACACAGGCCCCGCCCCCCCTCTCGCCGCCGATTGGCTGCTCCTCCGCCGGGAACCCCTTCCGGGTCGCCTCCCATTGGCCGCCGCCGCTGCCACTCAGTCCGTCAGCCGAGCGGCGCGGGGGCCCCAGGGCCGGCGATCGATCGTCGATGGCTCGAGCGGAGGGATTGGCTGATGGGAATGGAAGATCGGGGGGAGGGGCCGCTCGGTGCTCGTGTGCTTCTCCCTGAGGCTCATTTCTGTGGAGTCAATGTGACTCAACATTAGTGTGTGGGGGGGAGTGGTGTGTGGGGGAGGGGGGTGGGGGGGGGAGGTGGGTGGGGGGAGGGGCGTGTGGGGGGGAGGTGTGTGGGGGGGGTGTGGGGGGAGGGGCGTGTGGGGGGGGAGGGGGGGAGGGGGGGAGTGGGCGTGTGTGGGGGGGAGGGGGCGTGTGGGGGGTGGGGGGGGGGGAGGGTGTGTGTGTGGGGGAGGGGGTGTGTGGGGGGAGGGGGTGTGTGGGGTGTGGGGGGGAGGGGGTGTGTGGGGGGAGGGGTGTGTGGGGGGGGGGGAGGGGGTGTGTGGGGGGGGAGGGGGTGTGTGGGGGGAGGGGGGGGTGAGGGGGGGTGTGGGGGGTGAGGGGTGTGTGGGGGGAGGGGGTGTGTGGGGGGAGGGGGTGTGTGGGGGGAGGGGGGGGTGAGGGGTGTGTGGGGGGAGGGGGTGTGTGGGGGTGAGGGGTGTGTGGGGGGAGGGGGTATGTGGGGGGAGGGGGGTGTGTGGGGGGGGGAGGGGGTGTGTGGGGGGAGGGGGGTGTGGGGGGGAGGGGAGGGGGTAATTGGGGTTGTGACCTGTGCACCACCAGCCCCCAACACCCAACCGCAACCCCAACATCAACCCCCAACCCAATACCCAACCTCCGCCCTCCCTCCTCCACCCCCTCCTGACCCCAACCCCCCGAGGCTCGGGTCCGAATCCCTCGACTGTCCAGCGCCTCGGGACGTCCTCCGGCCGTGAGAGAGGCGCAGACGCTGCGTGAAGGCAGTCTCTGTTGCGGGTGTTCATGACGATCGAATGGGTCGCCGCGTTTTTCCAGTAACCTTTCTCTGTGGGGTCTCACTTTGTAAAGCGCTTTGTGAGGTTTCTCCTCGTGTCCAGGACAACAATTCCTACCCCCCCCCAACCCCCAACCTCCCCCCCCACTCCACTTAATAATAATAATAATAATAATCCTTGCATTTGATATAGCGCTTTTCACGTCGGGAGGACGTCCCAAAGCGCTTCACAGAACACACTGTAAAGTGAATTGACTGTATATTTGTGGGCGAACGCGGCAGCCAATTGCGCACAGCAATGTCCCACAAACAGTCGTAGATTGAAAATGACCAATTTATTATTGTTTTGGTTTTGGAGGGATTATTATTAGGCTCTGTGTGGAGTAAGGAAACTTGCCCAAGGTTTGGCCCTCTGCCTGGAATTGAACTCAGGTCTCTCACTCGCAAAGCGAGTGCTCTAACCACTGAGCCACAGGACTCCACTTCACTCATTCACTTCTTGGCTTTTTGCGGGTTGACGGTGCGTGCAAATCGGCTGCTGCGTCCGCCTTATACCCTTCACGGCCGGTCACCTGTGCGGCGCCTTCGAGATGTTTGACCTCTTACGGACGCAAAAGTACAGGCGGAGGTTATCTCTTAACCTTCGTCAAAAATGTTTTGTTTTATTACGTTATTTTTCGCGCGGGCCCCGTTTGCTGTTTGCGCTCTCAGTTCTTTTCGTGTGCGCGAAATGTGTGTTCGGTTCTTCCTTTAGTTTTAACGCACACAAGAAATGTGAGGCATTTGTGCAATGTCATGTCCTGTTCAGCCACTCCCTTGAGGTTTAGACCATAATCCGCCGACACTTTCATCTTCTCTTGTCCACCCCTCCCGTGAAACGGGTGCGGGTCAATGGAACGCAATTTTAAAAACCCGTTTTATTTATTTTTTAAAAAAAAACACGCCAAAATAATTGCAGTTTTAGTGTGCAGACTTGGTTTTGATTTACTCGTTTGCTTCGGATCCCGGAGGCACGGAATCCTCGGTTCGGTTTTTAAAGCAAAGTGATGGATAAGCCGTATGTGTCGAAAAAAACAACTTACAAATCGAGGCTGAACTTAAGAATTGTCCACAATTCCGGGCGATCTTTTAACTTCTGAAACAAAAACTGCCTTTGTTTATTCAGCAACCGAACAAAGGAGCGCCCGAGGTTTTTTTTTCCTGAAGTGTTTGGCAACAACAAGGAACTTCTTTAAAGACGCGTCCATACGATTGTATTCTGCAGAGCATCAAGATTATTTGTTGCTGATGAAAAAAGGTCAGATAAAATAGCTCTAAGTGCCTGCGTTATGTGATTAAGTATAAAAAAAAACACATATATTCTGCTTATGCTCTGGTTGTACCTTTATTGTTACCTTTCACTAAACGATTGAGTGGTGCAGATTACCATACACAGAATTAGATATCTGCATGACACGTAATATGCTATACAGCACATGGATTATAATTAGTACAAATACATGAAATATTTACATTTTTTTGTTACGTCATTGATACCTCAAGCTCGGTTGGTACAACATATATTTACAAAACATAAAGACGATGGAAATAAAGCCACCCTGATGAAATATAATAAATATACAGTGTTGACGCTCTCCTCCGAAGGGACTGGATGTTGGTAGGAAGCACGCAAAGAAATGGACAACAAGTCCAACTAAAAGTAACCTTGGACAATAATAGATTGTGGGTCACCAGCCACAACAGGCAAAAAAAATAAAGATTAAAATGAATTATAAACGTGCAGGTAACTTTCTGATTACCAGAACATCCAATAAATGTATTCAGAGCTACTATGGTATCATTTCCTTCACTGGTGATGTCCTATTTGCTTTCCTTTTTTGAAGAGAGACGGTATAATTTGCCAGTGGATACAGGCTGAATTTCATGTTTATTTTAAGCAAACAAACCTATAAACAAAACAACTAATCTTTGTACCTTTCCCCTAAATACAGTATTAGATCTTGAATTTTTAATCTGCTTCTAAATATTGAAAATGTCTCAAAAAAACGCTTCACGTGTGATGTGACCCGGGAGTGGGGGAAGTGGGGGATCGAAGAAGACTCTAAAATGGATAATTGGAGACGGACTCCAAAGTCTGTACAGATTATGGCTTTCACGTTTTGGGTCGGTCTAACTGATGGCTCGTCTGAAGATCTAATAAAGAAGTATGAGAATGTTGCACGATTTATAACTTAACATTTTACATCTTTGTGAAGACCCTTCAACAGTAATACAGACTCTCTTCAAAAGTGATTTGTGCCTTTCGGACGCGAGACACAAAATGTACTGGGCCAAAGGGTTTACCCGCTGAGACAAGGACACAATTACCCGAGGACGGACTTTCAATCCCTTTTTCACGACTCCTTCGTTGTAAACGTGTGCCACTTCCTGGAAACAATTCGTACGAACGGTGCACTTGGTGGGCACTCCCTAACCAGCAACTGCGCTCTTCATGGAATCTCGTGATGAGGAGGGAGAGGGGGAAAACAAACACAGGCTTTGTGGCGATAAGATGTTTAACTCACCCACACCTTCCAACCTCTCAGCAGAAACTGGATTTACAATTGGATGAAACACCGGCCACGAAATGATGGCAATGTAAACAGCCGTAGATTCATAAAACACAATGTACACTCCACCTCCCTGATTCATCATCATATGATAATCCTCGCGTTTGACACAGCGCCTTATCCCGTCTCCCAAGCGCTTCACAGAACATACTGTAAAATATACCGACTGTGTATTTTGTGGGCGAAAGGCGGCAGCCAATCGCGCACGGCAGCGTCCCACAAACAGTCGTGGGTTGAGTGACCAAATTATTATTATCATTATACTTTTTAAACGTTAGTCCTGGTATTAAAATGCGGGACACTACTTCTGTAGCTGCAAAGCAGCACAGCATTAAGACGTGCAAGTTTTTTGAGGTTACTCCCTCAGTAAGAGCTATATCCCATCTCTACCGGTTCGATGCACTCCACTACAGCCGAATAACCGTATCCATTATGATCACTAGCGTCCGGGTCAACATATGTGTAATTGGAAACGGGCAGCACTTAGTTTGTGGGAATGAACAAGCTATTTTGTTTAAGACTGTGGATATCAGCTGAGCAATCTGTTGGAAGCAGAACCTGAAGTTTCCTTCCTTTAAAGCGTCCGTGATCTGGAGCTGATATGATCCGGGATGTGCTCTGCAGGCTGGCTAACCTCAGGCACATCGAACACTCATTGCTTCTCCTGGGAACCCCTCTTGTTCAAAGGTTAAGCTCAGCTGTTGCTGTGCGAGGGTTTAATAATAATAATAATCGAATTTGAGGTAGCGCTTTATCACGTCTTCGAGACGTCTCAAAGCGCTTCACAGAATATAATGTAAAATGAATTGACTGTATATGTGTGGGCGAAAGGCGGCAGCCAATTGAGCACAGCCAAAGTCTTTAAATAAATTTGGTCTTAATCTGCAAGTCGATTTTCTAGTTCCCTCCCCACCCTCCCCTCAAAAGAAAATGTGGAAAATTATTAACCATATTCAGACTGCCTTCCAAAATGACGCAGTCTTACTTTTACTTAAAAAAAAACTATTCTTAAGCCTAAGAATACGAGAAATTTCAGTCTCTTGGGTTAGGTATAACGATAAAAGTACCATAACTTACTTGAATAAGCATTCTGCCCCCAACGTGACACAGTGGTTGTAAAAGGAATGGGCAGCTGCCATCAACCGCACCAGTAAAATTTGGCAACCGTTACAGTTTTACCTGATCTCGGCTTCGACCCTCAACCCCTCCATCCCTTCTGTGGGCTGATCTGCAGGTTTGCTGGCCTCAGTCATGCCCTTCCGCTCTGTTTTCGAGTCACTTTCCGAGTGATCCATCTGTTCGAATTAGCTTTCTTTAAATTAGTTTAAGAATGCACAGAATCAGTATAGCATGTTCATTCACACAGGGCGGTACTGCCTGAAAGGGTCCCAATTTTTTTGTTGTTCTCCTGCCAAGTTCGGCATCCTCTCCTAAGAAGGCGCTCGCCTACTTTTGTTTGCGTTCGTTGGGAACATATACGCGGGCAGTGTCTCCTCTGCCAAGCTTTCCCACTGCTTGTCCAGCCTTCCAGTTAGCGCTTTGGCTTGCTGGGTTTACAGGAGCTGAATGGGAGGATTCCCTGCCCCCAAGGATTGGTCTGTCCTTCCAGGTCCTGCCAATGAGCCAGGCCGGGCTGTGCTGTCATCAGCAGTGCCCAGGAATACTGCGGACCTGCCTGGCTCAGGAACCAGACTAGAGACCGTCACAGAGGGTCAGCTCGATTACGATATTCCATTGCCAAACAGATGGAGGAGCAGATGGAGGAGCACAGATCTCACGCCCACACGTTCACGGATCCCCTACGAACCTCATGATGTTTTGCAATGAGGGAATGTGCTGTTTATTGATTTCACGCCTTTACAAGAACTGAAAAAGCTTGTGAATCACATCCAGTTTAACCGTCGGGGCAATAGTTCTGGGGTACACCTCAGGTGTAGGAATGCAGGTCTGAGAATGCGTTCACAGGTAAAGTGCAAGTTTCCTCCCCACTCTTAGTACATGGATATACTATATACACATTGTGTTTACAGCCAGATTAACTGCACTCACTGTCTCATTTATAAATAGATAGGATGGCCTTGTTGGCTAAGGTCACATAGATTTTCCAAGCAGGAGGTTTGTTAAAATTATAAATCCAGTGTTTCCGACCAGCTTATTGTTGTTCAAAGGGAGATTTTACCCCCTCCTCCCAACCCTCACCCCGTACCTCCCTCCCCTTTCACACCACCTCATTCCCTCCCTCAGCGATAAAACTCTGTAAACTGCACACTGAAAACAATCACCACCAGTGAAATTCTGAAGTTTGAGGCAGCTTTCACACACACACACACACACATCTTCATGACACCAGTATTAGATAACCCAAACGTTAACTTGGGTAAATGTTCCTCGATCAATTAGTGCATTCGTTAATGCTTGAACTATCCCGATCGATCGATTCCCTTCCATAAACAGTGCTCATTAGCACTTAAAGCAGCTTGAAGTCCTGTATAGTGCACAAAGCACAAGCATATCCCAGTTCCCCTGTGATCGAGCTTGGCTTACTCACACTGTGGTGGTCATCAGTCATTGATTATTAAAAAAAAGTGCATATATGCTGTACTGTAAATTAAAAAAAAAAATTGGACAATGTTAATCCGTGTGCGATGCCTCGCTGAGTGCTGTTACCCTCAGTTGTACAGGGTGTCTGTCCACAAAGTCCTGTTACTCCCCCGTTACAAAAGAGCGATCCGAGACTACGAAAACAAGCCGTCCGAAACACATTTCGCCTCGTCACTCGTTACACTGCACCGGTTAGACACTGCACAGTAAAGAAAAGCAAATCTCCACGGAAAAAAACAAACCCAAAAGGTTAGGCCAATTACCAGAAAGTACTGTTAACGGATTAAATGTTTCTTATGCGGTCGCTAAGTACTTCATCGATGACATCCCCTCCCAAACGCCTCTGTGGCTTGTGGAACTCTCCTGAAATGCCAGGCATTTAACAGGCACCCGATACCCCTGGTCTACCCGAAGCAAAACAGTCAGGGTGGACGGAGTTTGGCTGTAGGGCTGAGAGAGAGAGAGCAAACCCCAAAATGACATTGAAAGGAAATACTGACGTGCGTTTGCAGAGAAAAGCTTTTTCCACTGATAGCTTCAGGACATTTGGTAAGAGTGCAGGACTACAGTGCGAAGCTATGTTATGGCTGGTGGGGACTCACCACCTCTCCCCCCTCCCCCACCACCGGGGTCACCAGACACGTTGGACAGACCTGTCAGTTGCTTAAGCATAATCGCTCTGGATTGCTGGCAATTACAACACTCTCAGGAGCACTTTTCTGACCGAAATAGCGCGGGCACCTTCCTCCATCAGTCAAAAGTTGAGAGCTGTTGGTTGCATTCGGTGCGGTTATCCTGGATATCGCGCAGAGGTTCGCGGGAGGAACACACTCGTGTGCCTCCAGGTATGCATGCATGTACGCTCGGTAAAGAAAAGCAAACCTACACTGAACCCTGAAATCCGCCCCCCCACCCCCTCCCACCCCCCAAAACACGTTAGCCAGCCACTTGCCCAGATCACGTGCTTAAAGTAACAGCGCAGTGCATGCAGAATGAATCATCCTTAATAATAATAGTGCTTGCATTTGATACAGCGCCTTATCACGTCATTGAGACGTCTCAAGGCGCTTCACAGGATACGCCGTAACATGGATTGACTGTGTGTTTTTTGTGAGTCAAATTACTCCCCAAGAGTTTAGGTTTTTCTATTCCAATATTAACTGGTTGTTCCAGTGGGGAGAGAGGGGTAGGCTGGGGTGGATGGTTGCGATCCACCGCCACCCTGAGCAGAACGTGTGGTCCCTTTAGGTCCTAGAACCCGCTTTACTCAAGTCTTAAACAGTTCCGCTCTCACCACTCCAGCACTCAAGACCACGGCCATTATCTGGCAGTTCATCGTGGAGGCAGTTCTAGAACAGCTGCGGTTTCGCGCGAGGTGTGCTAGAACGCCCAACCTACCCGTCAGGATATCCCCGCTCGCCGCGGTTCAAATTCTCGACCTTGAAGGTATAAACCGTCACCCAAAGGAAAGAACCCCGAGAGTTTCCTTCCAGTGACCGACCCCAGTCCGGTTCTGTTGCTTTCATTGCATCACAAACTTGAGGCAACAGACTGACGGGTAACGCTGACGAGAAGAGAAGCAGTAAATGGTGGTGGTGGTGGGGGAGAATAGAAAAAAAAACGCTTTGGAGATCGTGCACACACGCACACCTCACGCACGCACACTCAGACTGTTTTACGACATGCTACTACAAGAACTGGAATGGTAGGAAAAATAACAATGGGCTTTAGGTAACTAGAGAAAGAGAGAGAGAGAAAATAAAAGGTGCTTAAGTAGAGTTAAACCACGTGTCTACATATACAAGAGAGACTGTCAAGAATCACAAAGGTTATTAATAGCAACACTTGTATGTTCAAAGACAAGGCCAGAAGAACTACTTTGTTTTCTTGCATTCCACGAAAGACTCTCCGTTTACATCTTCAGCTGCCCTGATCGTCTTCGAGCGAGTTTCGATCTGCAAAAAAAAAATATATATATATAGTAATAATCCTTTCATTTGATAGAGCTCCTTATCGCACCGTTGAGACGTCTCAAAGCGCTTCACAGAATATATTGTAAAGTCTGGGCACAAGGCAGAACAGATCTTTACTGAAACAAAGTGTTGAGAGTGTGGTACCTGATTGAGCCGGCCAGCAGAGGATTGAAAGCGTACAACCAATCATACATATCTTTGTCGTTGCATGCCTGCAGTAGTATTCCACGGTGTTTTGTGCACACCGCAAACGTATTAGGTGTCTGCGGAACAAAACATAAAGTTAAGACTTATTCTTTCCTTAAAGGCTTTTAAAGCACGAGGCAATAAGACTGTAATTGAAAAAGCTTTCCTCCAAATTAAATTAGCAATGGATTAAAAGCAGACAATTTATTCTAGGTGTTATATACCATTAAGCGAATTGACTTTGTGGGTGGCAGTCAATTGCGCACAACGGTGTCCCACAAACAGTCGCGGATTGAGTGACCAAATTATTATTTTTTTGGGGGGAGGGATTATTACCCCCTGTAAAGCGATCCACCAATCGACCATCAACTGGGTTCCTCCTTACTGCTCGGTGAACAGAGGTGTTCAGAGTAAGAAGACTTGCCTAAGGTTTTGCCCTGCCAGGGAGGGAATCGAACCCGGGTCCTCTCGCTTGCGAGGCAACCACACCAAACATTAAGCTTTAGGGCTCACATATGGGCAAAGTTATGTACTCACTTACCTTGAGCATTGCCTGCTGATCCTCGCTGAACTCCACCTGAGCCGTGGATAGGTTGAGAATCCCTCTCTCCACAGGGTCCTTATCGCTGTTGTAGATGAACACGTAAGGGCGATGGATAACCACATAATGTTTCACCCAGGAATTAGACTGGGGTTCCATGAAGTGTAGGTATCCCTTCTTTGACACCACGGGGCTGCAGCGCATGGAGACAAACAAACAACATGGCGCCTTTCACGTGATGTAACGACAATCCTTGCGTTCGACGCAGCACCTTATCACGTCGTCGCGACGTCTCGAAAACGCTTCACAGAACATACTGTAAACATACCGTGGATTTCGTGGGCGAAACGCGGCAGCCAATGGCGTACAGCGAAGCGCTGGGTTTGCGCGGGCTGGAGTCAAAGAGGGGTGGAGGGCAAGGGAGGTGGTGGCGGTGGGAAGATGGCCGAAGGTGCGGTCGAAGAGAAAGGTCTTGAGATGCAACACATCGGTGAGATGGGGACAAGTTCTTAACGTTTTAAAAAAATATATGCAGATTGGACTAGAAGGGTTTTCCACGGAGCGAATGGGTTCAGAGCAATGTCTCACCCAGTCCTGATCTCTTCGATATCGGGAAGCAGGTTGAGGAATTCGTTCTTCCCTGCCCTGGCCAGGTACGAGGTCTCCACACGAGACACTATCGGGAATCCTTCAAACTCTATACAAGGGCTAGAGGATCTGGAGTTGGCCTCGGGTGTCCTGTAATATAGAATAATAATAACAACAATGCTCGTAGTTTATACAGCGCCTTATTAGGTCGTTGAGACATCTCGAAGCTCTTCACAGAACATACTGTGAACTGTGTAGTGACTGCGTGTTTATGGATGAAACGCGGAAGCCCAATTGCGCGCAGCAGTGTCCCACAAACAGTCGTGGATTGAGCGACCAATTAAGAGGGATCAAATGTTTTCATATCAAATCAAATATATATATATATATATTTCGAGGGATAATTACTCCTGTAAAGCAATCCACCAACCGACTAACAACTGGGTCCGTACTTATTGCTGGGTAAACAAGAGGCGCGCGCGCGCGTGTGTGTGTGTGTGTGTGTAGAGTAGGGAAACTTGCCTAAGGTTTAGCCTTGTTTGGCCGGGAATCGAACCTGGCTTACGAGGCGAGCGGGACTACTCTACGGGACTCTGGAATGTGAAGCGTCTTGGCTTACAAACAATGAACAGCTGTAACAAGGTGCGAGGGGAGGGCGGGCACGGCGGGGGCGGGGGGAGAGGGAACGATAACAGTGCCTCGCGCATCAACGGCTGCCTCTGGCTCTTGACTCTGAGACAATACATCCCGGTTGAGCTGAGGGTGACACGTTAAATGATGTTTGTTGGGCTTTGGCCTCGCCTCGCGACCAGGAGTTTCGTCTCGGATCGAAGACTTACTTTTGATCAATGGAGTTGCACCTGGAGTCGGCAAGCGAAGGGCAGGTGGATGAGGGGGTGAGAGTGGTGCTGCTGAAACTGGACATGGAGGCATCACGGCCAAGGGGAGACACAACATCTGACAGCTGAGAGAGAGAGAGAGAGAGAGGGAGGGAGGGAGAGAGAGAAAGAGCGTTGATAATACTAATAATCCTCGCATTTGATAAAGCACCTTATCAAGACGTTGAGGCTTCTCAAAGCGCTTCACAAGACTATATTGTCAAGAGGATTGACTTGCGCATTTTCTGGACGAAACGCGGCAGCCAATTGCGAACAGCGGCGTTCCCACAAACAGTCGTGGATTGAGCGACCAAATTATTATTGTTTTTGGAGGGATCAGTACCCCCGGAAACGATCTGCCAATCGACTAACAACCGTTTTTTCTACTTGCTGTTAGGTGAACAGAGGGCCTGTGGGGTAAGGAAACTTGTTCGAGGTTGAGGTTTCGCCCCACACCGGGAATCATTCTGTTGTAACATTTAATCGAGAGCTCCCTGGACGCAAGATAATAAACCCGTGCTCCAGGACGCTGTGGTATTACTAATACTTTCAGATTACTGCTGCGTGTTGGCTGTGGGTTACCTTGCTGTCACTGATGCTGTTGTACACTTGGTTCAGTTCCCGGTTAAAGGTGTGCATGAGAAGCCGCAGGCACTGAAAGAAGAGATGATAGCACAGTATGAGCACGTGATAATGTGACAGTCACCCCTCTTACCTTTGACAGACCACCTCGCACGTCGGGAGGACGTCCCCAAGTAGTGCTTAGGATACGCCGCAAAGAGCAGTGACTTGTGTAGTTCGCAGGCGAATGCGGCAGCTAATTTGCGCAAAAAGTGATAATAATCCTTGAGGTCGATAAGAGCGCCTTATCACGTCTGCGAGACGTCTCAAAGGGCTTCACAGAGCGCTACCAGCTGAGCCAGGCTGACACACAACCAACCCGAGCGAAGGTTAACAGCGAGAAGAATGCGTTTCACCAGCAGCAGCAGCAGCAACGCGAGGCTGTAATTGGGATGTCCTCCCGGCGTGAAGGGCGCCAGACAAACGCAATTTGTTCTCGTGGCCGGGCGGACGTCCGTACCTTGGTCGCCAACTCCTTCTCCCGGTCCACGAGGCTCTGGATATCCGCCGAGTCGTAGCCGCTGCTTTCGCTGGAGGTGACGGCGCTCTCGAAGGTGGTGGAGGAGATTTGCGAGGAGATGCTGGTGGAGGTGCTGAGGCTCTCGCTGCTGCCGCTGGGGGAGATGGAGTCGCACAGGGACTTGGGGACCGTCTCGCTCAGTTTCTCACGTAGCAGCAGCAAGTGACGTGTCCTCTCGACCTAAAACATGCACACACACACACAACTCGTGTTAGAGGCTGGAACATACGTTCCACAAGTTGGGAGACTTGGAACCACGAGGAGATGTTTGACTTTGCTGTGACGCCGATGATAACAATCCTTGCATTTCATATAACCCCTTATCGCATCGTCTCAAAGCGCTTCACAGGACATACTGTCACGTGAACTGACTGTGTATTTTGTGGGTGAAACTCGGCAGCCAATCGTGCACAGCAGCGTCCCCACAAACAGCTGTGGATCGACTGACCACACTTTTTTGGGGTGTGTTTTTTTTGGAGGGTTTTATTATCCCCTGGAAAGCAATCCGCCAATCGACTAACAACCGGGTTCCTACTTACTGCGGGGTGAACAGAGGCGTGTGGAGTAAGGAAACTGGCCTAAGGTTTCGCCCCGCCCGGGAATTGAACCCGGGTCCTCTCGCTGGCGAGGCGAGGGCTCGTAACTTTCCCACGTGAATATCCAGCTTCCTGGTCTTTACCTCATGCAGGAGATCCAGCTTCTCCAGTTCCCACTGGTGCTCGAGGATGAGGCTGTCCCCACGAGGTCTCCATCCCGCGAGATTCTCTTCTCCTCGCACGTAGGCAACGGACGTATCCAGGATTTTCCTTCTCCTCCTCTGCATTCCTGGGAGCAGAATAAAAGCTTACTCCCTAAGCAATACTTTTCCCCCAGGTTGTATAACAGAGAGAGGGAAGAGTACTTAACACAGTCTGGTCTGGTGAGCTTGGTCAGATAATAACAACAATTATCTCGCTCATTACATTTGACCTTGAGCTTTATCACGTCGCCGAGACATCTGACACAGTTTCACAGGGTTTCAAGTAAAGCGTTATTCTGTAGGCGAACGAGACAGCCAGTCTGCACACAAACAGCCGTGAAGTGAATGACCAATTTAATCAGGGCATTGTTGGCCAGGATTTGTGCCGTGGCATCTTTACGTCCGCCTGAATAGGGAGCCGAGGGTCTTGGTTTAACGTCTCATCGAAAGGTTGGCACTTCTGATTTCCCATTACAGCTTTTTTTTTGACCAACTGACGCACGCGGAAACCCATCACGGTTGCTTTGAGACGTCTGGAAGACGTGAAAAGCCTTATATCAAATGCAAGGATTATTATTATTATTATTGTTATTAAGACTCTCCAAACCAAGCTGAGAATTCCAAGCGTCCCCACCTACACATGGAAATTCCAGAGATAAGATTGCTAGAATGGAATGCGCTCTCTCTCTCTCTCTCTCTCTCTCTGGTGGGACACATCCTGCTTTAGAAGCGAAATAGCAGAAAGGCTGCGTTTCAAAGGATTACAACTGAGGAGAAAGCTCTTTCCTGCACGTTGTGACCTTTGAAAGCGAATGGATTGTAAACATCGATCTGACAATCAATACACTGCTTGAGGATGGATTCCAAGAAGGATTGTATTAACTTAATGGCATTTTCCGGGAAGTGCAGTTTTGTTACAGAATACTCAACCCTATGAATAGTTTGGGGGTGGGGTGGCAAGTGTGGGGGGGGGTGGGGGTAAGAGGGAGATAATCAACATCACAAGTGTTTGGCCTCAGTGTTAACAGTCTATTCTGAAGCGTGGCATTAAATAATAATAATAATAATAATAATCCTTGCATTTGATATAGCGCTTTTCACGTCGGGAGGACGTCCCAAAGCGCTTCACAGAACACACTGTAAAGTGAATTGACTGTATATTTGTGGGCGTAATAACATAAGAAATACAATTACAATTGACATTTACACAGCGCCTGTGTATTCCACGCCGAGAGGATGTGGATTGAGTGAAAAAATTATTATTTCCGATCAGGAGAGTTTATTTGTAGAAGAGTTTGTGCGAGAGTCTGCGGTACTTCTCAGGGAGAGACCGCAATATTCTCCGAGAGACCTGGAAATACAAACGTGACACCCAGCGTACCCACTCGCAAGGCCCGTGGCTAAGACACAACACACGCCCCGAGACCCCCGACCCTTTACGTACCAGGGCTTCCAGTGTTCGCTATTTTGCACAGACTCAGCTCATAGATGCCGCTTATTCGGTTGCTGGAACAAAAAAACAAACGAGAATTTTTTTTAGTGACAAGGGCTCTCTATCTTGGTCATTATATATATATATGTATATAAACAAAATCGCTCTCAATGGAAAATTGTTACAGGACTCCAAAAGAATTCCTCTAATCGACTTCAATGTTAGGGACGATTTTCTAAACTATTACACAGCCGCGTAAAGACGTAAGGATTTTGATTCGAAAGCGTCTGATGTACCAATCGGGTGTCTTCGAGTAGCCGCTGCCAAACAGGTTGCGGAGGGAGCGGGGAGCTGAGATCTTGGCGTCCCGGGAGTAGAAGACCATACAGATGTCCTTGGTGATGATGGCGGGCTGGATGCAATGGTCGAGCTGCAAGAACAACAACAACGACATGTTACATTTGCACGGCGCCTTTCACGTCAGGAGGACGTCCCGAGGTGCTGGACAGTCAGGGATTCGCACCCGAGCTGGAGAGAGGAATCGAGCGAGAGTGGTGGGGAGGGTGGAGGCGAGGGAGCATTTTTGGGAGAAGCAGTTCAGGTCGATGGGAGGCAGCCAAAATGCACACATCGAGACTAGGTGTGTGGTGTGTGTGTATGTGGTGTATATGGTGTGCGTGTGTGTGGTTTATGTTGCATGTTGTGTATTGGTGTGTGTGTATGTGGTGTGTGTGTATGTGGTGTGTGTGTGTGTGTGTATGTGGTGTGTGTGTGTATGTGGTGTGTGGTGTGTATGTATGTGGTGTGTGTGTATGTGGTGTGTGTGTGTGTGTGTGTATGTGGTGTGGTGTGTATGTGGTGTGGTGTGTGGTGTGTATGTGGTGTGTGTGTGTATGTGCTGTGTGTGTGGTGTGTGTGAAAGCAAACACAAAGAAAATCATTGATCGCCTGATGTCCAGATAGCGGTGAAACATGGCTGACAATCGCAAGAAAAAGATACTGTGGTTTCCTCAGAAACAGACTCACCTCCAGGTACGCAGAAAGAGTCATGTAGATCCTCTCACCGTAGGGAGTCACCCGGTTTAGCAAGAGGGAGTTATGCAGCGAGCTGTCCCAAACGGCCTCGAACCGATAAAAGCTTCTGAAACGAGGCCACGAGTTGCAACAATCAGTTTTGACCGTCACAGAAATAAGTCGGGAACGAAAACCGCTCCACGGAAGAGAAGGGAAATGTTCCACGGAAATTATGCTTTTTGCATTATTAAGTTTTCAATCGGATAAGTTTCAGTGAAAAATGCCACTAAAGGTCAGCGATACTGAAACTAATAATAATCCTTGCATTCGATATAGCGGCTTATTACAAGGCAGCCAATTGCGACGGTCGTGAATTGAGCGACCAAATTATTGTTGTTTTTTTAACGGGATTATTACCCCCGGAAAAGTGATCCGCCAATCGACTAACAACCAGGTTCCTACTTAGTGCTGGTAAACAGAGGTCAATGGAGTAAGGAAATTTTCCCGCCCCACTTTTCGCCCTGTCCGAGAATCGAACCTGGTTTGCGAGACGAATACTCTAAACACTGAGCTCCACTTTGAAGCCGTTTTTCTGTTGCTCTTGGGAAGGGAATATGTCCTTCTGGCATCGAACCATTGGCCATTTTACCCGTCTCGCACATCGTTCAAGCCTGAGGTGGATCGATGTTGGTGAGGTCAGGGTATCAAGCGGATACGGGACAAAGGCGGGCAATTGGGAGACGAGGTACAGATCAGCCGCGATCTCAGAGAACGGCGGAACAGGCTCGAGGGGCTGAATGGCCTCCTCCTATTCCTACGGAACACAAAGGGGCTTCCAGCCAGCAGCACAGCCACAGAGCTTGCTTCGCTCCAAAACGGACCTGTCCCCCCCCGTTTGTCCAATACCAAACGTGCGTCTTTGTAACTTCACGGCACAATGTGTTGCCATGACTAACGCAGCGCTTTCGACGAGGACACAAAACATTCTAAAGAGTTTTTTTTTAAGAAAAAAAAAATCCGGTCTCAAAGCACACAGAACATTTTGCAAAAGTCGACAACACAATCACAGCGGTTCACCCCCTCTCCCATTTGATTGACGGTCTCAGGCACTGACTCAGCACCGCTGCAAACACAGACCTTACAACCTGTTGAAAAGCGCTATTGCCATCACAAAATGTCGGCCTTCGAGGACTCGACCATCGCTACTGAAACACCAGGGGAGCGGATACGGGATACGGAGCACTGTACGAGGTAGTGCTGCGGTGAAACTTATTTCTTTTTGAACGGGGTTTTGCGCTGTCGAAGCTTTGGGAAACTTTTGGAGTGAGTTACAAGCAGAAGCTCGAGGAGAAATCATTTTCACCCGACACCTTTCCCCCCTCGTGTCGTTTATGCCACAGGGCTTCCGTTCCATTTCGGAGACGAGTATGAAGACGGAGAGACCTTTTGTGACTCGCTAAGCGGGCTGTGGTTTGCCTCGCCAATCCGCTGGGGAGCAGAACTAATAACCATTTGGGGGTTGCACACAGCTCCACTGTTTTACTTTGCGGTCACAAAGCCAATTGCATTATATATATATATATATATATAACAGCTCCCATGGCCTGAAATTCCATGCATCCTTAAGCGTAGGTAGTGATGCCATTAATAACAATAATAACAACAGCAATCCATGCATCTGATTGCAGCGCCTTATCAAGTCGGTGAGACGTCTCAAAGCGCTTCACAGAATATACCGTGAAGTAAATTGACTTTGTATTTTGTGAGTAAAACTCCCATTGCCACAGGCTGCGCACACAGACGTGACTGGAATTTCAGCCCATTAAGGCTCCTAATCCCTTAAGTGTTCTGAACACAGACCCTATCATTTGTACTTCATATCACAGGGTAGAGGGATACTTTTACGGTATCCCTGAACAGATTTCTTAATGAAGGAAGGCATTCCCACTCGGATTTCTTAAGAAACATCACACATCAGGACTTCAGAAAGTATTTATTATAGTTTACTGCTCACGTCTGTGGTATAAGAGGAAGTTTGGAGACAGAGCTAAAGACAGACAGCCGGGGATTAACAAGGGGGTGGGCGGAGGGGTTGGGAAAAGAAACAGATTTAAAAACTAAGTCCTAGACAAAAAAGGGATGAGAAACGGTGAGATGTAGCACTAAAGCTACAGAGCAGACCACAGAACGAGCAACAATGAAAAAATAAACGGGTAATACCTAGGCAAGTCCGAATCAAGAAACAGCCTGCAGAAAGAACATGGCCGTTCGTTAGTGGCCAGAGGCAAAAAAAAAAGAAAGGAAGAAAAGGAGTGAAATTAGACCGTAGATAAATGAAACGAAATGAACAAAAAGTCAAATAAAAAAAATGCTGTCAATGATAATGGTCCCCAGCCAGACACATTGGAGAGAACATTCCCTCGCAGCAAGGCAATGATGTGCAAATAATAATAATCCTTGCACTTGATACAGCACCTTATCACGTCTTCGAGACGTCTCAAAGCGCTTCGCGGGATACACTGTGAAGTGAATTGACTGTGTATTTTGTGGGCGAAACACGGCAGCCGATTGCGCACAGCGGCGTCCCACAAACAGTCGTGGATTGAGTGACCGATTTATTAGTATTATTATTATCATCATTTTTATTTGAAGCAAAGTGTTATGTTTCTGGAAGGGAAACACAAAAATATTGCTCAAACAGGGCATCTGGCCCTCAGCAGCCGACCTGAATTCCGAACCTTCTCAGACTTGGGTTTGGTCAGGACGGTGCCTTTATTTGGGTCGTTTCTCCGTAGGGAGCTTCACCACGGAGACGTGCAGTCTCTACCCCTCCCACTCACACACACACCCCCCTGCGCGCACACACACACACACAACCACACGTACCTGTGAGCGTCACTCGAAGCCTTGACGTGTTTGGCGGAGATTATATTCAGAGACAAAACAGCATCGACGGCGGTCTCGTCCACCTCAGGCTTGTTCCGGATGCGACCTGGGTTCAGACATGGTGAACAGCTCAATTTACAGGACTGCTCTCCAGCTCAACAGGGTGCCAAGCCATCACTGTCGAGAGCATTGGTAACCCTTCCCGACAAGAAAGGCGCTAACGTGAATGTAAATTGTGTATTGGAACTCATTCTAATAAGGGGGTTGAAAGACGACACAAGGTTTGGAGTGGCGGGTGGGGGTGTGGGTGGGAGTGTGGGTGGGGGGGTGGGGGTGAAGTGGGGGGAAAGACGATGACTTTAGCTAGAGATATTCATTTGGATTATCTGACGGAAAAATTCATAGTTTGTGTAAACTTTTTGCAAAAAAACTCACCGACGACAAGCTCCCGAACATCCTTCCAATGGAGTTCGCTGCCCTTTTCGTGCACGATTGTAACCGTGATCCTACGCTGAATTCCCTGTGGGGTGAAAATAAAAGTTCAGGTTACTTAATCGGACCCACTTAATCCTTCCTCGAACAAGCACTGCGGTTCGTAACCGCACGTCAAAAGGTACAAACCGAGAGGAGGGGGTCTTTACTTTGGTAAAGATCAATTATTATTATTCATAAAAAGAAGTTCTCCACCAAAAAAAAAAGTGTCTATTCATTGCACGTGGCTCGAACACAACTACTGTGAGTTCCACCAAGGCATCATTTCTTTGTCTCGCATGAAGTGCTGCAGTCGTGGTTAGCGGCGTGAGATTACCTGACGTACATACCTGGTGGAGCAGGTAAGTGCCTTGACAAGGAAGACCTCCGCTGTGGTCCACGACAGCTGGGATATACCTGGTCAGCAACACAGAGATCACAAGGTGAGTTTGGATGAAGAAGGCCCTTCAGCCCATCTGATCTCATCCTTCCAGGACACCCAACCCTACAGTCCTCCCATCACAGCATCAAACCGCCTTCTAAAGCAAGTCCCAGTGGCCTGGCCTCAACCACCTGTCCTGGCAACCCTGTTCAAGCCATCAAATTCCCTTCGGGTAAGCAACAGTTGAAGTTGAAATAAGGGTTCAGAGAATCATAGAATTACACAGCACAGAAGGAGGCCATTCGGCCCATCGTGTCTGTACCAGCTCTTTGAAAAGACCTATCCAAATCAATCCCACTCCCCGGGGCTCTCCCCATAACCCTGCAAACTTGACCTCCCCAACAGGGTTGTAACAGGATAGTCTCCAAAAGTCGAACAGAAGTTTTGAACTACGCCTTTCGTAGATACCCTGAACGCTTATTTTGATCGCTAAAAATAATTATGAGGGATTTTGGGGGAAATTTGCTCGGGGGAATAATGTTTATCCGACGGAAAACAGACCAACCCGTCAATCGGCAACTTACTCTCCTGTGGACTCCAGTTCACTGATCTCAAACCACACAAGCAAGTCATATTTGCTGACACACTGACCCAGACTAGATTTGCTCATGGCGTTCAGCTTGGTGGCTGGCACTGAAAACACACCAGAGAGAGAGAGAGAGAGAAACAAAAACAGTGATGCAATTCGATTTAACGTAGAGCTACAATTTTTGAACATTTGCAACTAAGCCGTGCAGGGAAAAGAGGAGGAGAAGGGAAGGAAGTGAGGGAAGCAGAGATAAAACAGCATACAGTCTAGGCTGACGCTCCAATGCAGTGTTGGGAGACATCGAGACCCACTAGAACACAGCAGAACAGCTGGAGCTCACCACGAGGGCCGTTCTGTGCATTTCTACTGAAAAACTTTCCTCTATAGTACCAGAAGCTCACTGAAACAGCAACACTAACTAAAGCAGGTCTTGCTTGAGAAGCCTAAGTTCGAGAAGGGTCTATCTTTGCGGTATTTCAGGAAGGGATTTCCTTAATAGTCCGAGGAATAGGCAAATGGTGACAGACTCCTTTCAGGAACTGGAAACGCATCATCCTGCGGGAACACAAATTACTTTCAGAGCCGAGGGTTTTGACAGGATTCCTACAGGAATGATTCCTCACCGAGGAATCCTGCAAACTGGGCTCTGCCTTCCAGTCAATTCCCTTTTGATTAAGAAAATCCCGTTAAGGAAATGTCGCAAATTAAGACTCCCTGAGCAAACTGACCGGGCATTTTTTTTTCCTCCAACTGATTCTTGTAGAGAGTCACAACACTTACAACTTACCTCGCTAAAATGCAGAAAGCTTTGCAAAACTTAGAAACAATAGGACTTAGAGAGGGAGAAGAAAGAGGGGATAAATAGATTGCAGTGGACCAAAGCAACAGCTGGATTTCTACCCATTAAACATCCCTACTTATTCTGTCTCTGCTGTTTTGTGGGGCAGAGGATTGGAAATATTAATCCTTACATTTGATGTAGCGTCTTTTACGATCTGGAATGCACTCACTGCCTGAAAGGGTGGTGGAAGCAGATTTAATGGCAGCTTTCAAAAGAGAATTGGATATGTACTTGAAAAGGAAAAATGTGGAGGGCTATGGGGTAAGAGAGGGGGAGTGGGACTAGTTGGGTCGCTCTTTCAAAGTGGGGGGAGGGGGGTAGATGGGGAGAGGAAAGATGAATACCTTGAACATATAGAGCTTAATCCAATCCAACCCAACCTGCTTAAAAGCAAACCGTAAACATTTAAGCTGCATGTTGCTGCTTCATGTTTGATAGAATAAGTTGAAATAGTTCGATTTTAGATTTAAATGGATCTTTAGATTGAAACGTAATTGTAAACCCACGACTGTTTGTGGGACACTGCTGTGCACAATTGACTGCTGCATTCTGCCCACAAGATACTTTACAGCATATCCACTTTACAGAGTATTCTGTGAAGCGCTTTGAGACAGACGTCTTGAAGATGTGATAAGGCGCTGTATCCAATGCAAGGATTATTATTATTATAAGTGGGCGATGAACACAGGGAGCTCTAAACTGTGGGTTAGGCTGAAAAACTACAAGGTTGATCGGGGAGTGGGGATTGAGAGAGAGAAAGACTACAGGGAGAAGGAAGGGACTTTAAATAATTCCTCATTTGCCACGACTTTTTGGTCTAACCAACTAAATCGCCATAGCTTCCCCATTGCTTGTCCAGCGAGGACCACCCTACCCGTGAGTTGGTGTGGTTACCCACCATGATGCTTTGGGACTTTCAGCACATGGTAAGTGGGAAGAGGGTGAAAGAGGAAGGCTGGCAGCTGTTCTGTGCCGTCCAGGAACGAGGCGGTGGCAGAGGAGACAAACGTGTTGGCATTTTCAGAGAGGGCATCAAGCAACTGTACATTTACATAGCCAGACATCAGATATCTAACCAAATGAATCTTTCGCTCATGGTCTGAAACGGAAGAGAGAGTTGGGGCGGGGGGGAAAAAAAATCGAGGGTGTTTGTTGGACGGACGGGGTGGGGGGGGGATGGGGGGTGGGGTGTGAAGCAAAGTTGAAGGAGAAAGGATAAAACAAACAAAAAAGATTTAACATGCAAAAAGTAACAGAATGCTCAATGAATTAGCGCACCCCTCTCGATATTATGAGCTTTACTTCACTCGAGGTTTTATTTGACCACAATGTTTTTTTTTTTGGGGGGGGGGCACAAATAGATAGATTTCGAACATCTTCTTAAACAATAAATAACCTCCCACCCTCTGTGCGCACATTAGACATTGTACTGAATCATTCAGCTTTCATACTTGACCTCAGCTTCTCATACAGACACACAGGCTGAAACCCCACTGTCTGTGGAGTATCCAAACAACAACTTGCATTTATATAGGGCCCCCTCACGCAGGGTAGCGAACCCGGAGCGCTTGACAGTGGCGGAGCCTGACCCCGAGCCGGGAGGGAGCAGACAGTAAGCACAGTCGGAAGGGAAGGACATCTGAAGATGTGGAAGGTGCGGGCGAGATGCAGAGATAGAGGAAAAGTGTTCTAGAGTTTCGGGGCGTAGTGGCGGGGAAGTCTGGCTTTAATTAACAACTGGAGCAAGTGCACTGATAATGCAAGACTTTTTTTTNAGTGTAAAGGATCATTCACAAGCTAAAGTGAATCAACATAATGTAGGGCCTCTAACTATATTGAATGGAATTAGCTACACGTCTCGTGCCAATGTTTGATGCAGCAACGCAACACATCAAGCGATCACTAGTTTCGCACTCATAAAAGAATTTCCTTTTTGTTAAGACTCACCTGGCTTTGAGAGCGGCATTGGAGGGGGGAAGTATTTCCGAGTAGGTTGTGGTGGGCTGTGTGAGGAACGGTGGTTCAAAGGATTATTCCCCTTACTTCATAAAATTCCCCTTACTTCAGAACAAAACAAGAACAGCTGGTGTTTACACAGCGACATTCACGCAGGATAACATCTCAGTGTGTTTCACAAAGACTGGGGTTGGGAGAGGGGAGAGGGAGGACGGGGGGAGAGGAACATCAGTGTGGTTGAAGACGTACATCTTAAGGTGGAAGGTTAAATTCTTTTTTTTTGGTCTGACAGATGCGGAAACCCAGAGCGAGGGTTGGGATAACCGGCTAAAACAGCACAGCTTGCCATTGATATCACTGTCTGGCAAGCTTACCTGCTGCTTGTCCAACTAGGACCACTCTACCTCCGGTGACTGGGATTTAAGACGGGTAAAGGGAGTGGTAGAAAGCTGGTGAGAAATTAATCTAAATCAAGTCTACGCCAGCTGAGCGAGGGGGAGGGGTGCGAGCAGAGGAGCGGGTGTTTGAGCAAATCCTGAGCTTTGATGGCGTTACGTCCTTACCTGACGAGATCCTGTCCGAGGTAATGCAGAGGGTGCTGCTGATAGTGGCCAAACACTTCAAACACGATCGGCTTTGTCTTGATGTACTCGGTGAACGATTCCGTGACTTCCACAGCAACCTGAACACAAACAAACCGTTCGTGGGGTGGGCTCTCAGCTGCAAACTGGGACTGAGTGTGCAGTCGCTTTAGTGGTTAGCGTGCTCGCCTCGCAAGAGAGGGGACCCGGGTTCGATTCCCGGGCAGGGCAAACCTTAGACAAGTTTCTTTACTCCACACGCCTCTGTTTACCAAGCGGTAAGTAAGAACCCAATTGTTAGTCGATTGGGGGATCGATCGCTTTCCGAGGTTAATAATCCCTCCAAAGAAAATCCACTGCTGTTTGTGGGACGCCTCTGAGCCCAATTGGCTGTCGCGTCAACTCACTTTACAGTATATCCTGTGAAGCGCTTTGAGACGTCTCAAGGATGTGATAAGGCGCTGTATCAAATGCAAGGATTTATTATTATTATAATAATAAGTCATGGCTCGAGCGAACGAGGAGGTGGTGGTGGGGGAAAGATGAGTGGAGAAATACAAGCATCAAATGAAACTTACATTCTGTACGTGGTAGAAACCTAGAGGGGTCCCGCGACCGCTGTTCTTCAGGGGCTCGGTGGAGAAGGCCTCGTCGTGACGATGGAGAAAGCTGGTGAGAAATCATTCGAAAAAACAATAATAATTGGGTCACTCAATCCACGACTGTTTGTGTGCAATTGGACTGTTGCGTTTTGCCCACAACATACACAGTCACTCCACTTTACAGTATATCCTGCGAAGCGCTTTGGGACGTCCCGACGTGATAAAGCTCCGTATCAAATGCAAGGATTACATTTATTTTAATCATTAAGTATGATTAACTTCACCAGTGGGATCCTCTCAGTTGATGAGTCTCAGTTGGATTTCTGGACTGGCCACTAGATGGAGAACCTCTCTGTGGGAGAGCATTCATGGACATCATTGAAAATGTCTGCAGTGCAGAGGACGTCTGCAGCGAGGAAGGCAATCACAACAGCCAAGAGGGGATGGGGCGGAGAGAGAGAGAGAGAGAGAGAGACGCTGGATCAAAGTGCTGGCTCCTTTCTCCAGCCAGCGTTCAAGGCTCCTGCACTGCTACATGAAAGGGTCGCAAGCGAGAGGACCCGGGTTCGATTCCCGGCCGGGCGGGGCGAAACCTTAGGCGAGTTTCCTTACTCCCCACGCCTCTGTTTACCCAGCAGTAAGCAAGAACCCGATAGTTGTTAGTCAATTGGCGGATCGCATTCTGGGGGTAACAATCCTTCCCCCCCCACCCCCAACAAAAATTGGGAGTCACTCAATCCACGACTGTTTGTGGGGGACGCCGCTGTGCTCAATTGGCTGCCGCGTTTTGCCCACAAAAATACAGTCAATCCGCTTTACAGTCTATCCCGTGAAGCGTTTGAGACATCTCGAGGACGTAACAAGGCGCTGTATCAAATGCAAGGATTATTATTGTTATTATGATGATGATGATGATGATGACGAGGTGACTCACTTGAATTGGCAGAAGATGTCGGCGTACTCTGCCGGGATACCGCTGGCCTGGAGGACCGTGACTCGGAAAGTGAAAATGCTGCCGAGCTTCAGGTGCTCCACGTGTTCGTCCGAGATCTCATCGCCGGACAGTTTCGTGTCCATCTCCGAACCCGATTTCAAACCTGGGAAAAAAAGCGACATGGGGAAATTCTGTCACGTCTTAACGCCGCGTGCGGAAGCTGTCCCGGATGAGACTCAGTCCATCTCGCAGCCGGAAAGGTTGCTACGAACTTTCAATCGACCAAAGCACACAGTCACTACACCTTACGGTACATTCTGCGAAGCTCTTTGAGGCGTCGAGAAGACGCGATAAGGTGCTATATCAAGTGCAGTGATTGTTATTATTGTTATTACCCTTTCGAATAACCCGCCTCACACCTTGTGGATGTAATTCGCTTTATTCACTGACAAAACCAGACAAGATTCACGCAGAGTGGAAACCAAAGGGTGTGCGTCATGGTAGAGAAATGCACACATTCATCGAGCAAATCAATTTAACAGAGAGAGAGAGAGAGAGAGAGAGAGACACACACACACACAGAGGAGAGAGAGGGAGTGACACAATCAGGGAGAGCGATATACACACGCACACAAAAACAGAAATGGAAAGAAAGTCGAACAGAAATAGACAGTCAGAGAGACACACGTGTAGGGAAAGCGAACGAGACACAGACAAAGAGAGAGAGACGGACACACACACCTGGAGGCAGACAAATGGACAGAGACACACACACATACATACACACACACACACCGATTCCGTTCCCGCGCAGTATAGGATGCATCTCACAGCCAAATAAAGGGCTTTATTATGTGCCTTTGTAACAGAAGCCCATTTGTGGCTTCACACTGTGAAGGGAGCCAACGGGAGGCACCGTGTGGCTGGAACAGGCGAACCGTCTTCATCCAATTGACAACTGACATAAAAACCAAGCATGGGGCTAATCTTAAATCCAAAAGGCTGCAGGAACAGACACTGCTCTCTACATTGAAATCTGAGTGCATTTAACGCGCAAATCCTATTAGATTTATTAATCGGAGCTCAATGTGTATGTCAGGAGCAGCTCTCAGCGCTAAGCAGGTTGCATGGTCTTTTATAGAGAAAGATTTATACGCAGGGGAAAGAAAGAGAAAGGACACAAATTGACATGGGAGGGTTTTGATTCGCGGGTGTGTGTGTGTCTGTGTTTCTTTAAAAAAAGAGGAGGAATTAAGTTCTTCACTATTAACAGGATTTCCATGAAATTCTCAACACAAAAAGCATTACCGGGCAGCTTAGCTTTATTACTTATATGATTAAGCGACACCACACATAGAACTGTAACTTGTCAGTGTGACTGCCCCGATGCACTTGGTAGAGGGGATTATGACTGAGTGAATGCGAAGTCAGGGGCTGAAACAAATGGAAGTCTTGCGGTGTCCTGCGCATTGCGACAGAATGAAATAAATGTGAAATAAGGAAATGCTGCCACTCATAGAATCATACGGCACAGAAGGAGGCATTCGGCCCATCGTGCCTGCCTGCGCCAGCTCGCTAACTAGCCCCACTCCCCCCGCGCTTACCCCATACCACCCCTCGTTGTTCCCCTGCACAAAAAGTCACTGCACTTTACAGTAAACCCTGCGAAGCGCTTTGGGATCCCCTTTTTAGGGGGTCGTCCTCCGCCACTCAAGCGCTCTGGGGCACTATACTGCGCGGGGGGCGCAATACAATGCAAGCTGTTGTCCTCCTGATGTGAAAGGCGCTGCCTCAACAGACGAGAATTCACAGTTTAGCTGCCGAGGACCGGATCCAAAGTCAGACCTACCCAACTCTTCGATGCGGTTCATTTCCTCCGAGGGAGTGTTCACGTCTGAACTCTGACCCTGACCCTCCACGATCCTCAGCTCCTCCAGAGAGAGTCCCGAGCGAGTCATGACCACAGACGAAAAGTTGCTCTGCAAACGCAGTAACGACAGAGGCCGTCATTGGGACGCCGCTGAGCGCAATTGGCTGCCCCGTTTCGCCCCCGAAACACACAGTCAATCCACTTTACATTATGTACTGTATTCCATGAAGCGCTTTGAGACATCCGAACGACGTGATCAGGCGCTACATCAAACACAAGGATTATTATTATTATTATAATACGGAATAACTGACGGGAGAAAGCAGTGTGTGAGAGTCCCACCTGGGTGTAGATCTACTTTACTTGTCGAGCATTTTTGCCCACAAAACACACTGTATCACAGCATATCCTATGAGGTACTCTGAGACACCCTCCCGACATGAAAGGTGTTATATCAAATGTAGGGATTATTATTATTATTATCATTATTATTTTAAGAGTGTCTGAATGGCTCCCTTCATCCCTTCACCTGGCCCCCTCCCTCACCTCCTTCAAGACCTATCTCAAGACCTTCCTCTTCGACTGTGCCTTCGGTCACCCTCCTATCCCTACCCTCCCTGTCCTCCACGACCCAATCCCCTGACTGTCCAGCGCCTTGGGAGGTCCTCCCACAAGTGAAAGGCGCTGTTTAAACGCAATTTGTTGTTGTTGTTTTAGACTCGCGCATGGAATCGAGGAAAGTTACAGCACAGAGGGAGGCCATTCGGGCCAAGCGAGTCTACACCGGCTCTCACAGCAACCCAGCACCGTTAGTTTGAAAGGTTAGATGTATAAAGGGGGAAAAAAAAAGGTTTCGCTCACTTGTTTAAAGTACTCATCGTCAAACGAAATCTTAGCGGTGCCAGACTGACGAACGCCGGATCCGTAGTCTGGTGCCTCCTCATCGGCTGGATGTTAAGAGAGAGAAAAAAAAACATGTTTAAGTGAAACAACAACAACTTATATCGTGCCCCTCACGCAGAATAGCGTCCCAGAGCGCTTAAAGCAATTGGGAATACGTTGCCAGTTTGGATACTCTTAAGCACAGTGATGGGTGCCCGCATTTGGCAGACACCCAGTTGAACACCTTTAAGCCCCATCCAACACCCCTCTCCCACAAAAAATAGGGATTTGCACGTATACTTTTGCTAACATTTTCTTTTACTTCCAAAAGAAATATTTGGTCACTCGATCCACGACTGCTGTGCACAATTGGCTGATGTGATGAGCTGCTGTATCAAATGCAAAGATTATTACTATTACAACACCAGTGATAATGTTTTGTTATTAACCACCGTTATTAACCAAGTCTAAATCAATTTTTTTTGGGGGGGGGGGGAGGTGTGGGTGGGGCGGGAGCTCAGTCGGGGGTCTGAAACCCATCGCCGTGCTTAAGAGTAGCCTAATCAAGCCGAGATTCCATGCCTCCCAACTACACATGGAAATCCCAGAGATAGATGGTCGGAATGGAGTTCGCGCTCTGCTCTCTCTCTCTCTCTCTCTCTCTCTCTGGAGGGGATAAATTATCTGATTTGTAATATCTCACCTGTGATGGCTTGCACAGCCACACGCAGAAACCCTCGCACCTCCCCCTTCTCGCTGACGATGGCAATCTTGTGGACCAGGGGTACGGGATACAAGAGATTACTGAGATACACAAAGGCTCTGGGAAGAAAACAAAGACATGCACATAAACGGTAGGTTCTCATCAGTAAGAATAAAAAATAATCTGGAGTAAAGGTAAGTCAGGCCAGGACCGTCTACAGGCGAGACAGACCTGCAGTGATGTGAGAGGCTAAACGCAGGCTGTAAAAAACAAATCAATTAAAAACCCGAGTCGTAAATCATACCGTGAATTAAAAAAAAATTAAAAAAAAACTTTCTCTCAAACCAAAAAAAGAAAAAGTTTTTAGAAAAACAAGGGAACAACACAGGAATAAATGCTAACTTTGTGAAGGTTAAAAGTAACCAGACCTGGAAACAAAACGGAAAACAAAAATCAATCGATGGACCATATTTATGAGCCCTTTTCAGTCTGCTTTTCAGCCGTTGAGAAACCCTCACTGCAAAGAGGTTCGGTCGAAGTGATAAAATAAGCCAAACGGTTTACGTTGGCTGCCGCGTTTCGTCCACAATTGCACAGTCAATCCGCTTTACAGTACACGCTGTACTTGAGAAGCTTCAAGGATGTGATAAGAATGATTCAAATGCAAGGATTATTATTATCAGTATTATCAGTATTTTATAATGTTCGGAAAGAGTGCAACAGTCTGGCAGGGGCCATTTTGTCTCAAACTGTGCCGTTGATTACCACAGAGCGCACCTTACTTTTGGTAAGGCGCGGCAACGAGCAGAACCACAAAGAACTTGTAGATAAGCTGCTGGGAAATGCGTGTGGACTGGACACACAATGCTGCGCCTCATCTGCAGGGCACTGCCTGAAGCACTTGTTTGCCCAGTGTTTGAAGGGCGAGTTATTTGGAGCCCAGTGTTGTGCTGTCTCGGCTCTGCTGCCCCAGTGTCCTCTGTTCTGAAAGCAAACTTTAAAGCCAGTTTGCGTTAACTCGGCTATCCGATCCCGAAGCAGACTGAAGAGGGCGAAACGATAATTAGCAGTAAGACTGGTGAGGTAAAAAAGGCATGTCCAACAAACAAAACAAACAAACAAAAAACAAAACCATAAAAGGAACTTCCAAAACAATTCAGAAGAAAAACCGAAACAATCCAAAACCGAAAATAAAGGTTTACAGCCAAAATAGTGAGGGTAATAACGCCGATTTTGGGAACGCTCAAGTATTTGAGGACATGAAAACTTTCCAGATTTTTGTTTCATGTGATTTTTTTTAATTAAAAAAAATTAAAAATTAAAAATTTCAAAAAAAATAATAAAATTCATTTCGGAAATTAATTTTTTTTTGGAAAAAAAGTGTCTTTAAGGGAATGGTCCCAGCATGCCATGGGAGATGGGAAAAAGGGTCAAGCTCTTTTAACAGAGAGAATTAAATTCATCCGCAATTTACACACGCGCACGCGCGCTCACACACCCACACACGCAACCAGAGCATTAAAAAAAAGACTTATTGTCATACCATTTCACACCTCGATCTGATCATTCTCTTATTCCGCTTTATAATAATCACAATAATCCCGGCATTTGATTTCGCGCCTTATCGCGTCTTCGAGACGTCTCGAAGCACTTCACAGAATAGACTGTAAAGTGAAGCGACTGTATATTTTGAGGGCAAAACGCGGCAGCCAATCGCGCGCGGCCGCGTCCCCACAAACAGTCGTGGTTGGAGTGACCCATTTTATTATTAGTATTATTCTTTTGAAGGAATTATTACCCCCATAAATTTTAGGGTCATATGACAGGACACGAAAATTACTCACAGTTAACTTGAATTCACCGACTAAGAAATATCCAGACTTTAATCGTAAATTCCAAATAACCAACTTCTAAACAATGCTGGTTTCTTAGAAAGAGCCTTTATTTTCATTCATTGCGGCTTTTGACCAGTTTCTCCTCGATTTGACCTCCCTCACCACCACCCCCTCATCTAGACCTGCCTTGAATCCATAAGAGGTATGAATATAGCACTTAACAAACGAGTCGAGCGCTTTGGGTATGATAATAAGAATGCTCTCCATTGCACAAGTTTACAAAGTAACAAGAAATGTTAAAATTCCTTATGCAGTACTTTATTTTTTTTTTAAAAATCACTTATATCCTACTATAATCTGCTTCCCTTATTGTACTGTGCTGTTGGCACAGTTGAATTGAAAGATCATTGGGTGCGTAAGGTTATTGGTATTCTTTTGAACCACATAATCTCTGTGGTCAATTTACCCGCTACGGTAAAGTGGGTCGGATAGCTCCACAGTGACTGAAAAGGAATAACATTCCCTAATTCCTATTATGCGCTTTTGCTAAAGTGATTTGTGATAACAGCAAAATCCCACCAATTGCGTTCCTCGGGTTGAGTTGCAGTTTGCGCCATATTTTGTCAAAAAAGATAGTCGACGTTTCTCGGATGTACTAGTATTATTATTGCATTGGCCGTCTATGCAGACAATTACCAGTCGTGCCCAACCCAAGGCCTGAAGTTTGGGGAATTCCAGCCTGAAACGGAACTGACGGTGACGAAATTGGCCAAAGAACCAAAGGGGAGAAGAGGAGAATTTTTTTTAAACCCAGAGAGTTGTTACGGTCTGGAACGCACTGCCTGAAAAGGTGGTGGAAGCAGATTCAATAGTAGCTTTCAAAAGGGAATTGGATGGTACTTTTTTTTTCACACAGGTGAGAGCAAGGGAGTGGGACCAGTTGGCAGCTCTTTCAAAGAGCCGGCACAGGCACGATGGGCCGAATGGCCTCCTTCTGCGCTGTAAGATTCTACAATTCAATAATGGGAGATATTTACCATTTGGTTTCAGACAAATTAAAAATCCTAATGTCAAGACACGAGGCATCGTTAACCTACGAATGGAGTAAATACAACAAGAGCAAAATCGGGTTCCGTAGAATTTTAATACAGTGGTAGTTATTTACGTATATATATATCATTTTTTTGTGTGTGTATATATATATATAAAAAAACGAGGAAAAAAAAACAGGCTTTCGTATCAAAATTGAAAAGAGCTTGTCCCTTTCCCACTGTTCTCCAAGAAACCTCACCAACCTTCCCACTAAAATGAACCAGGGAGATCGGTCGTAAAACGGGTCCTGTCCGTCGCTGAAGATGTCCGAGCCCTCTTCGTTGCCCAGGTCGGAACCCGTGTCGTCCCCGAAAGCCTCGTCCTCCAGGTCCTCGATCTCGTCCTGCTGCTCGTCGGCCAGCTCGGTGATGTCCGAGTCAGCGGTGGAGAAGGTAGGCGAGGGTGTGCGATCGGCAAGGTGCTCGTTCACACAGCCGTGGAAAATTGGGGAACTGGAGTACAGTTAAGGGCAAGAAAGGTTATTGTTTTTTTTCCCTCTCTCTCTATCTCTCTCTCGCCTTCTCGACCGACACTAGTGGCAAAAAAATGGGAGGAAAATGGACCGTTCGAGTCCGTGTGCTTGAAAGTCGACAATACCTTTAAACAGACGGACGTTTTAAACAGACGGAGAGGGGGAGAAAAATAAATGAGTTAGAACCAATGAACTGGGGCTGCAGTGAATCCCTTGTAACAGATCTCCACACCAGCTCGTTAAGTTTATCCAAAACTTTCAACAAGGAAACAAAAGCCATCACTAATAACTCTCTCTCCTGAATGGGTTTAGTCATTTCTGAGGTCAGGGTGGAATGTGGAAAATGGAATGTCTTTTCCTTTGTCTCGTGTTTGCAGATCTAAGGTGTGTTTGACCCATAATTAAGGCTCAAACCACAGGCGATAGCTCCAAGGACATGCTAACCGAGCTCTCCCTGTCTGAGCTGTGCCCATTTCAGGGCACTTTACAACCAACGGAGAAGGACTTTCATTCCTTTTTCCGTGAGTTGACCTTCAGCTCAGGTCTCCAAACGTCTGTGTGGTTTTCCACTTTGGCACAAAACGACCTTGAGGGTTGGAAGTTTGTTCGTTCAAGTCTGCTGATTGCAGAAACAACTGAGGGGGAAAAGAATCGCTCCAAACATTCAAAGTATCTGGAAGCGAGAACCACAACTAGCAGTGCTTTTACTGTTACACAATGATCGACACAGAACTTATTTCTTTGGGGGGGGGGGGTTGAGAAGAAAGAAATACTGACGGACGTACCTTCCCACCAGCTTAAACCAATGAAAGCGGTCGTAGAACGGGTCATTGCCTGTCATCACATTCTCACCGTCGTCTTGAGTGCTGGATGCCATTTCTCCGGCCCTGTCATACATCTCCCGCATCAGTTCCAACCTTTGTCTGTAAACCACAGCACGGGCTGGTTGGGGACCTCAGTCAAACTGGGGATATTTACCCAAAGCCATCCAGGCTCTCTGCTCTTACCTGCGCCCTGCATTCTTCTGAACCTGGTCGACCTGCTCCCCTCTTCTCAAGACCCTGCTCTTCGACCGTGCCTTCGATCACCCTCCTACCCCTAACCCTCCCCCGCCCTCCACCCCTCCTGATCCCAACCATCAGCAGATCCCTGGAGCAGATCCCTGACTGCCCAGCGCCTTGGGACATCCTCCTGACGTGAAAGGTGCTGTGTAAATGTGATTTGTCGTCATCGTTGTTGTTCTCACTTGCTCAGCGTCCAACCCCACTACTGTATAGTCAACACATGGCTTCATTGCGAATGACCAAGTTAGCTGGGGGCTGTTGGCCAGGACACTGGGTTAAACTCTCTTTTCTTTGCCAATGGGGTCTTTAACGTCCACCTGAGCGGAAAGCTGAGATCTCAGTAGGACCTTTCATCCAAAAGGTGGGCATCTTTGACGTTGCAAAGCCTCCCCAGCACCACACTGAGGCATCAGCCTGGTCTACAAGTCCTGACTACATGGGGCTTGAACTTACACCTGACTGAGCCAGGCTGACAATCTACATGATGTTCACAAAGTCCTGTTACCCCAATGTTTCCCCCCCCCCCCTTACAATGTTTTCTGTTGGCAGTGGAGTCGAGTATAACAATGTTGACACCAGTAACTTCCTGGTCGCTCTCTCTATCCGTGTTACGGAAGATATAGCACCGAACACGGTGATGGGTCTTTATCTGCCATGAAAATGATGGCGTTCACACGCACACACACCCACATACACACCAATGCTCTGGATGTCTAAATACAGTTGCACACTTGTACTGAATACAATTAAGTACTTCTAAATACAATGATCAAGATTCCTACACACGTTTCAGTTGTTGGGTCAGTGCACCGTAGAAAGAACACACCTGGGGGTAACAGGACTTTGTGGACACCCTGCACGTCACCAGGTTAAATGCTTACTTGAGTTTCTCCAAGGACCAATAATGCGTTGCACCGTTTTTCAGATCCTGCACCTCTACGGCCACAACAGTCCTGGGGAACAGACGGACATCGAGGTCTTTTTCTGCCTCGAGAGGGAGCAGTTCAGGGGGAAGTGGGGAATACAGGGTGTCCGTCAGGAGCACAAACTGGAATTGGACCTGGAGTCAAGAGAGAGACGGGTGAAAAAAAANGCCTCAAAACGCACTACTAAAATAATAATAGTTACATTTGATACTGCGCCGTATCACATCGTTGAGACGTCTCAAAGCGCTTCACAGGATATCACTGTAAAGTGGAGTGACTGTGTTTTCAGCCAGTGTGCGAGCAGCATTTCAGATGAAATGTTAAACCGAGGTCCCGCCTGCCTGTTCAGGTGGACGTTAAAGATCCCACGGCACCACGAGGAAACCGAAGGGCGTTTCTCTCTGCCGGCGTCCTGGCCGACAAATAAAATCGGTCACTCACTCACTCGCTCCAAAGCTGTTTGTGGGACGTCGCTGTGCGCAAACTGGCGCCCACATTTCGTTCAAAAATACACACTTTGCAGTAATAACCCTGTGAAGAGCTTCGAGGCAGCTGGAGGGCACTGGAGGGTAAAGCGCTCCAGCAAAGGCAAGGATTGTTATTATTGACGTTATATTACACGTACCTTTTTCTTCAGCTCAACGCTAATGGCGTTGGCCTCCTTCAGGTAGACGGCGCTTCCCCAAAGCTGGTCTCGCAAAGATGTGAACTGGTGGTACCTCCACTTCCTGTAGGCCCATCGAGCCAAGTCACACTCCCGCTGCGTCCAAGGCACTGGCAGAGGAAACACCAGATCTGTGAGTTGTTGTTAAGTTAATTAAAAAGGGGAAAACGGCCCATCCCCACCGTGCGAAGGGAGGATATATCCCCTTAACAATAATAATTTGCGCCAATACCCAAGCGCTCTGGGACCCTACCCCGCTTGAAGGGGGCTATGTATAAATGCAAGTTGTTGTTGAATACTCGTTTGAGTGGAGACTCGACGCCTGTCAGGATGTGGCCTGGTATTGTTTCGATCATTTACACCACCCCCCACAGGTAGCTGGAACTGACTGACTCGCTGCCTCAATTGGAAGAACGTGGCTGGCACTGTCTCAGTTAAAGGATGTTGTTGTTGTTGTTTGAAGGGGGGTCTGATTTGCCTGAAAACTCACTGTCTCCAAGAATGTGTATTTTGTGAGTGTGAGAGTACAACAAGGGGATAAACACACAAGGTGTTTGAGCAGGCAGGCGGGCGCTTTACAGAACATAATAATAATAATAATCCTTGCAGTTGATATAGCACCTTATCCCATCGTTGAGACGTCTCAAAGCCCTTCACAGTGAATTGGCTGTATATTCTGTGGGCCAAACGCGGCAGCCAACTGCGCACAGTTATACAAATATACTGTAAAGACGGTGTGTTTGTGGGTGAAGTGAAGCCGGCGTCAAGGCATTACCTTCTTCTTCCTCTTCTTCCTCCTCTTCCTCTGTGGTCTCGGCAGCCAGCGAGCGAGTTTCCACTTGCTTCTGCAAGGCCTCCAGCTTACTCTCGTAGTCCTGGCGGCAAAGGCAGAAGAGAAGGCAATGTGGAAGGATGGACAACAGCAGAGAAGCAGCGGGGTCTATAAACAGAAGTCTTAAATAAAGGTTAAATGAAGGTTTGGGACTACATCCTTACCTCTGTGACTTCCTCCAACCTCACTCCCCCACTCGCTCCCCACTCCACTCGACAAATTCGAGCCTGCAGTGGGTTCCTCGTCCATCCGACCCATTCCAAGGCTCAGTCACTACACCGCTTCCCTCTGGGAACTCCCTCCCTCTCTACAGGACTTTAAAGCTACCTCTTCGACCGTGCAATCCTATGCACAACAGTCCAATTTACCTAGTTGTCTTTCAGACCTCGTCCCTCAAACACTGAGGATCAGACCATGTAATCACTTCTGACGAAAGGTCATCGATCTGAAACATTAACTCACTTTCCTCTCTCCATAGATGCTGCCTGACCTGCTGCGTGTTCCCAGCCACTTCCATTTTTATTTCAGATTTCTAGCATCTGCAGCATTTTGCCTTTTGTTTCATGTAATAACTTAGTTGCCCTCCTTGCCTTTCCCCTCCTCCACTTACCCTACGACAGACAGAGCTGTACACAGTAGTCGAGATGGAAACAGACCAAAGCACTGCACGACATACTTCTGTGGATCTGACGACAACTTGTTTGCCAGTTTGGTTCAGGATCCTGTCACCTTTTGTTTTACTGCCTCACACTATTTAGTTCCTTCACTCCTATTTACCCAGTGAGCATCGAATCAACCAACACGTCTCGACCTCTTTCAACCTCCCCTTTGGAGAGTTCTATCACATCCGTGCAGCAAACATCCTTCCTATCGTTGATTTCCTTTGCGCAGTTTTCCCTTGAATTTCAACATTGAACTTCATTTGCCACTGATCAGCCCGGCCCGGCCCGGCCAAGCCTCATCCTCTGATTCACCCCGTGTGTCCCCCCACCCCCACCATGGCGTTTTATTTTTGCAACCCGCATCATTTATGTATAACTATCAAGCCATGGGTTTAAATGAGTCCCATTGCCCAGGCCTCAACCACCCTCCTGGCTCCAGTTCCAGTCGTTAATTACCCTCAAGTGTATTCCAACCGTACAACGCAGCTTTACCAAAAGCACCAGTTTGATCTTCTCTTTACCTGTACATTAATGGAAAGGGTCATTTATTTTCCCGCGGTTTCTTTAACTGCAGCTTTTAAATACCTAACAAAAGCACCAAGGCAACACAAGACCTACCTTTGGAGAAGGAGACTGTAGCCACACACTGGGTCGGTGGAGATTTGTGACGCTGAGGGGAGGGGTGGGGGGGGATTAGAAGGGATGGGGAGGGCTTATTCACTAGCATTTTTGAGGGTTTCTTTCAATAAGAATATCTGGAACCTCCACGTGTAGATGGGATGCATGGAATTTGCAGCGCGGTTTGAATACTCTTCAGCAGGGGTTTCTGCTTGTGTGTCAGACACCCGGCTGAACAAAAAAAATTATCGTTCAATAGCGCGGTGTTGGTTCGGGGGAGGGGGTTGAGATTTCTAATTTAAGCGGCAATGGTTCAATCCTCATCCGAGATGTCAGAAAGGCCAAGCCATTTAATTAACCAACAGGTGGATAGAAATGACACACAGAGCTATTTATGCCGCATTTCAGAGCACCTGGAACTTGGCAAGTTGAAGAATTCAATCTTAACGGTAAGACTGATTTTTTTTTTGCAGTCCTCAGTTAATAGTAATTCTAATCCTTGCATTTGACTCAGCGCCTTATCACGTCGTCGAGATGTCTCAAAGGCGCTTCACAGAATATTAATAATAATCCTTGCATTTGATATAGCGCTTTTCACGTCGGGAGGACGTCCCAAAGCGCTTCACAGAATATACTGTAAAGCGGAGCGACTGTGTATCTTGCGGACGAAACGCGGCAGCCAACTGCGCACAGCAGCGTCCCACAAACAGTCGTGGATCGAGTGATCCCATTTTACTTTTGAGGGGGTGGGGGAGGGATTATTACCCCCTGGCAAGCGATCCACCAGTCGATTTAGCAATCGGGTTCCTACTTACTGCGAGGTAAACAGAGCTAAAAGAAACTTACAGACAACTGGCTTCAAACTTGCAACAATTTTGGACCAACCAAGTCGTTCTGTCGGGATGTTTTGACGTGTAAGAATGAGTGCGGAAGATTCCATCATCTCGACAGTGGGATTTCACCCCTCCCTCATCTCTTACTAGATTCAATTACAGGAACGGAAACATTAAAAGCTCGCTCGTTAGAGGGAGTGAAATCAGAGGAGCACAAACCCGCAAGTCCTCTGGTTCAATCTCCAGTCTGTGCTGAGTGAGTTGGTCTCGGTTAGGCAGCAGTCGGGGGCGCGGGAGGGTTATAATCCTCAATAGCTCCAGGAAAAGAGGGTGGATGGGTGGGGTGGGAGGGCCAAGCAAAATCAGACAGCTCCTCACCCCACATCTCAGAGAATCATAGAATCTTACAGCACAGAAGGAGGCTTCACAGGATACACTGTAAGCCGGATTGCCTATATATTTTGTGGGCGAAACACGGCAGCCAATTGCGCACAACAGTGTCCCCACAAACAGTCGTGACCCGGCAAAACACTTCAGTTACAATAAATTTAAATTATTTTCTGTGCGCGATTGGCCGCTGCGTTTCACTCACAAAATATACCGTATATCCTGTCAAGCACTTTGAGACTCCTCGTCGACGGACTAAGGCACTATATTAAATACATAGATTATATATATAAAACAATGGAAACCGACAACCTCCAGGCTGTTTCTATGACTTTCTGCAACCAAAGCATTTCCAGAAGACAGGATTTGTTTTTTTTTAATAACAACACCGCCACACATCGTGGAGGTGGCACGTTGCACTTTATTTGACGGGAGACCCATACAACTGGTTCGAACCGGGAACCGAGAATACAGTCCGTGAATCGTAATCGCATCGGGAGGCAGAAGTCACCGTGCCATCTTTGTGCTTTCACAATTACGCGAGTCACGCATCTCGAAATTAAAATTACAGAGCAAGCTGGAACCGCTAGGTCTTACACTGTGCTTCAGGCTCAGTGAATGCACCAAAGATGTCCATTTACAAAACAAAAAGGCACATTTTACAAGTGAACAATTCAACCATCCACCGGTAGAACAAAGTTTCTCATGAACTTTCTGTGACTCCCCCTTCCTTTCTCTCCCCCCCCCACACCCTCACATCCCCTCACCAAACGTCCTTAATGTCAATCTGCAATCGTTTTAAAAGCAGCGGCCGTTTAAGAACAGCCCGACGGACAAACAGAATTCGCGAGCGTGCACTTTTATCGTTAAAAACCAACGCTGGGTCCCAAACTGCAAACTGGTAGGGTTTACGGTGGATGTTTTCTACGGAGAGGGATCCATTAAGATGTGTAGCCAAGTTGAGAGAAAAAAAAAAGCACCGGTCAACTACACCTGTGAATGCAGGCTGAACTGGATGCCTTTGGACTGGAAGTAACGCAAATTCAAAACAGAATGAACTAAGAATGTCCAGCCCCAAAACCCAGGGATCACCTCAACAACAACAACAACAACAACAACAAATGACTGTAGATTTGTTAGAGCGCCTTTCATGTCGAGAGGACGTCCCAAGGCGCTGGACAGTCAAGCATTTGCACCCGAGCTGGGATTGGGATCAGTAGCAATGGAAGGCGGGCAGGGCGAATAAATTCTGACGGGCTAATGTAAAGGAATAAATAGCAAGAGGCCCTGATAATCCTGGGTAGAAGGGTTGGCAAACCAATGGATAATTTGCACAAAGTGGTTTTTACTTGAATTGCGCGATTCATATCAAGGTACGTTATAAGATAATAAAACTAATAAAAATCCTTGCCTAATCGCGTCATCGCGAATGTCTCGAAGCACCTGACAGGATAGTCTGTGTGTAGCTGTGCGGGTTTTGAGGTGAATGTACACACCTGAGGATTCGCTGTTTGAAATGTACTCGTTCTGCTTTACTCAAAAGAAAAAAAAACATTCTCTGGGAAACTGTGAGCTTCTTTGCAGAAAGTGCAACTTTCGGCTTCAAAGAACTTAACGTATTTCTTTTAAAAAAAAACTGCTCAGTGTTTCTGGCCGGGGAAAGGAGCAGAGAACGTGAGACTCACCGAGGCGCGAAACAAATCCAAAATACAAGTTAAACAAAAATAAGAGAGCCAAACGACGCCAGGAAAAGCACTTGTGAGATTACTGGGAAAATGTCATAATTTTCCATTGAACAGGTCTGAAATTGATGGCTGACTTGCACACCACTTCTTAGGATAATAATCCTTGCATTTGATACGGCACCTTATCACGTCTGCGAGACGCCTCAAAAGCGCCTCACGGAATATACTGTAAAGTGAATTGACTGTGTATTTTGTGGGCGCAACTTCAGCTATTACAAGGCTTAGAATAAATTGGGTAAATTGTGCAACTCCCTCACAGAACCCGATGTGCAATCCTTGCATTTGATACAGCGCCTTACGGGTCAAGAGATCTTCTGAAAGCGCCTTCACGGGATTTGCTGCGACGCTAACCAAGTGCCGTCAGTTCACATCCTTGATGCACTTCGGAGACACAGTAATAATAACAACAATAATACTAATAATTATCCTTAGGTTTGATAAGGCGCCTTATCACGTCGTTGAGACGTCCCAAAGCGCTTCACAGAATATACTGTAAAGCGGATCCACTGTGTATTTTGGGGGCAAAACGGGCTGATGATGGGAAGGGGGGGAAGGAGGGAGTGGGGAGGGGTGTAACCTGATCATCTGATCGGGAAGAATGTTTGGGATGCATTAAGTAGGTGAGTGGATTTTGTGTTTTGGAGGGTCCCCTTTCAAAAACTCCCCAATTAGATGAACAGATTATTATTATTTATTTATTTTTTTAAAACGGATCCCATTTTGCCGTCTCGCGCGTCAACTCCAATTGAAGAAGAACAACAACAGCGGCGGCAGCAGCAGCGACGTACGGCAACCAAC